GTGAATTTGGGGAAACCATTCCAATGGTGCACAAATGTTAACGATGACTACCAAAAAAAAAAGGTCGCAGCGTTTTGCAACTCGAGTTGAGGTTGGCAACCATCGATTGCATCGTCCGGTGTGAAAAGACGGCTCCCCTTTGCCTCTGTATGTCACCAGCAGTGGATTGACCAAAGGGACTGTTGTAAACGGACATTAACACGTGTACCCAAAACCCTCACCACCACGTTCATCATTGACCCTGCCATCTACACTATCATTCTGTTACGTGTGTACGCACGTGAAACTTCTTTCGCACCGTACGTAACCAACCGCGCTTCATCGGAGGTGCGGGGTGAAGGACGACAAGAAATGGGTGTTCAATTTACGGGGCACTGTGTGCGCGATGATATGGGAAACAGCTTCTCACTCCACGCCCGTGCGATTGCCAATGCAGTCCACTATTTTTGCTTTCGTGAAGTCTACTCGCATTCCAATGGGTATATAAGTTTAAATATTCACATTTCAAACACGCTCACGGCATTCCTCCACCGCAGACTAAATTAAGTTTAAAGGCGCAGCCCCGCAATTTACCTCGCTCGCACCACCGCTGGCGGAAGGGCCTTACACCAGACGGAGCTCTGGAGAGAAATTACTTTGGCTTACTCCTCCAGCTCTGGACACAAGTCATGGAAGAGGTGGCAGTACCCACACTTTACTCCACCGCACGCGGCCTGCCGATCGACTGCGGTGGTATCCACCGACACTGCTTTGGTGGGGAAGAGTTGTAGACACTTTGCACCGTTGCCGCAAGTGCCGCGCCGGGAGAGAGAACTGGCGGACCCTCTGGATCGCAAGTCCCTTGCGAATGTATAATTCTGGTTCACATCGAGTACGTGCGCTTAGGGGGTACAGAAGCAGAAGCCACCTCGGATATGATTCAACAGCCCAGCTGCCGTTCACACAGCACGTGGTGGTGGGGGTCTCATGTCCCTACCCAGTGCACGGACTGCCACGATAAAAACGGTATTCAGTCGCAATATAGTTAATATTCTTAGGTTTTTTCGGTAAAGTCACGTAGGTAAAACATCAAAATTAATGAAAATAAAATAAAATAAAAATCACGACGTTTCGGAGGCAACACAAGTCTCCGTCATCAGGTGGGACCGTCACAGCCGAATTAGCTGATGACGGAGACTTCTGTTGCCTCCGAAACGTCGTGATTTTTATTTTATTTTCATTAATTTTGATGTTTTACCTATGTGACTTTACCGAAAAAACCTAAGAATATGAATCCTTGCAGTCACGAAAGCTTCAAATCTATAGTTAATATTATTCAATCGATTCCAACTTGTATGTTTTTTTTTAAGCAGGTTGAATTGATATCACATAGTGTGAAATCGAAATCAGCCGGCATTTTTACGTCTGCTTCCCGTCTCTTTAAACTCCTTGCGGCGCCAACTGATGCCTTCAACCTCGCTCAACAAAGATGCCCCCGTGTAGCCATGACAGACTTTTGTGGCAAGAGAGCACCTGTAAAGGCCGACGCGGTACACGAGGGGGTGGGTGGTCAGCACCACGCCCGGCCGCCTTTGTATTCCAAGTGGCCAGATTACACACCGCACAAGGTGCTCATTTGAGGCTGAGTCGACCTACCGGGAGGCCCAGGACCGGTTCAGATAATCGTCACCGGTGTTGGCCGTAGGCGGTAATCGAACTCGGGTCGCCGGGTTCACAGCGCAGCGCGCTAACCGCTGCACCACCGCTCCTCACTACACACACACAGACGGGCGAGTGCATCTTGAGATCAGGATGAAGATGAGGGCGTGCTGCTGCCCTCTGCTGGAGCGAAAATTAAAAGACCCCTTTAATCCCATTTTTCCAAGCAGTGGCTTCACCAGAGACGACGGCGACGGTTGTATAACAACGCAGCAGTAATAATCATCATGACGACATCAATAATAATAAGAATAAATTACACGCGCCCAAAAAAAACAAAAAAAAAACCCACACACACGGAACAGTCTCTCCAGTTCAGTGATCTTACACCACCGGTAGCACTCGTAACAACACACATCATCAGTAGCGGAGGAGACCACTTGCAGGGATATTTGATGTTTTAAATATATATAGATATTTTGTTTCCGATCTCTCGATTAAACGCCGCGGCCTCTGGTTCACAGTTGATTTTTTCTCTAAGCGGCAGCAATCTTAAGGGCGCCCGTTAAAATAACATCGGAGCTTTGTTCGCGTTGTGTGCGCGCGCGTGCGAGTGCGCGTGTGCGTGTGTCCGTTCGTGGAAATGAGAGACCCAAATGTCGCCGTGTAAGATTTCGCCTTTGTGCTGCGCAGCGCCTCCCCGGGTTGTGCCGCCGGTGTCGACGTTGGGCGACGGTGTCCGACGTTTCAGACGCCGTGCCCAACGACGAGCGAGTAAAAAAAAAACGAAGAGAGAAAAAAAAACACATTTGGCGAGCAAGAGAGACCCAATTCTTAAATACCGACCGTAGGATAAAAGTGACACATGCAGATTAGCAGTCATTTGATTTCAGCGTGTTGATTTTTGTACGTGGTGTTTTATAATTGAAATGTGCAGAGAGAAGCCTCTCCTTCCACCGACAACAAGAAATCCGGCTGAACCTGAATATCCTAAAAAGACCTTAATCTGCAAACATGCATTGGGGAAGGTACGTGTAATGCCACTTATCCACAACCGTTACATCCTAAACAACGTTGTAAGTAGCTATGAGAGAGATAGAAACAATATCTGCTCGATTGTCATTCATTCGCATTCATTTTTGTATTACGAGTAAATACAAAAAAAATAATGGCGATACTTAGAACAAAGCTATGTTGAAGATGACACCAAATCTGTCACATTAATAGCGTCTGTAACATAACGTTATTGCTTTTTAAAAGCAAAAAAAACAAAAGCCTAATCAACATCTAATTGGATTCTGTGGCTCTTCGTTTTTTTCGTCAAGTAACACCAAATTAACTTGATACGCGTGTTGGCTGCCACATTCGGGTTTTTTAACCGAAGGTGAATGGGACGGTGTCTAAATTAAGTGACGAGTAAGTGATGACGATACAAAAAAAATGCAATAATGTAACTGGGAGTGACTGCTCGCCTATTATGAACGTTTTTCATTCAACTGAAACGGATGGTGTTTTTCAGATCACACAACAACGAAAACCGTTGCATCGACGCGGTAGAGCAGTGGAGGTTTTACGCGTTCCTGGGCATACACAAAAAGAAAAGGAAACTGAATTTATTTTAAGAACATTACACATATCAGATTTAAAAATGTAAAGAAAGGTTAAGAACAGCCCCCACCACGAACCAAAAAAGGGATCTTTCAAAGCCCAAGATTGACATTAGTAATAAATAAACACCAAAAGATAAGCCCTTAAGCATTTTTTGTCTTTTTTTTCTAATAAAATAAATCAGTTCATTGAAAAAAAAGTTGGATATTCAAATAATAAAGACCTCAACCGGTCAATCTATTTACATATTACATGCATTGTTTTAGCAATGTATGTTTAAACTGCAACAACCTGCTTTGAAATGTAAAATAAAAAATATATTTCTTCTCACAGATAATTTAAATGCGTTTTCATCTTAATAAGCCTGCAGGAATTTTTTTTAAGTAAACCAAAGCTACATTTCGCATATAATCGCGTGCTACTTATATTCGCTAAAGGGTTTTTTTTTTCTAGTTCGGTCATTTAATCCATGAGAATGCCACGTGTGCACTGCACACCGCCAAATTCGTATTGGCGAGAAAGTGCAGGGGGGACCCCCATCGGACAATCAAGATTTTTGTTTAAAGCTGTCAAATATCGACCATTAGATTATTGGCACGATCAACCGAACGTTTGGGGAAGCTCGCGGTGTGAAGGTGGTGCTGCCGAGTAACTCGGGCGGAGAACGTACGGAACCTCCCCCCCTATCCGAGTCCATGTCCAATGCACGTCTTGAAAAAGCACGAGGCAGTACGTAGTAGTAGTAGTATTAATGCCATTCTTATCGTGCGCAACGATTTAAAAAGGCGCCGTTTAACATGCAGGTATAATCTGCCAGTAGGAGGCGATGTTGCTACTATGTGGTTTTACTCAATTGGGTCAATTTTGCCAGATTTTGGCAAGATTTGAACCATGACACCCGGCACAGACGTGGGCTTGCTCTATTTTTTTTCGAATGACGTCCCGCTGAACATTGCCTTGTAATATCAGGGTTGCGTTATCAGTGTAAATCATTGTGAAATTATTATTAATTTGATGGTTACCAATCGCCGAGATTGGACCGTTTCTTGCATTGATGTTGTTCGTTTCGCAAGATACGTGCGGCTACGCAAGGGTTGACCTTTCTGGGGGGGGGGGCGGTGGTGGGGGAACAAAACATATTTGTCCTGTAATGCGAGTCGTGGCTGAATGCAAGGCGGTGGGTTCTTGTTTTCAAATGGATCGTGACCAGAGACTGCGGGCAGTCATGGTCAGGTGTTGACCTATCAGCGACGCTACCAAGCGAAAGTCACAAACGAAGGGACGCGTTGCGCTGCTTACTCACCATTTGTCCTTTGCGTGCGTGGAAAACTTCCACGCCTGCAGCCGGACGGCAATTACAGAGCCGCCACGGAGTAACTTGTGCCCACTGCGGTGATGTGTTATCAAATATAAATATTCAATAATACTCCAAATTCACGTCAGCATGTGTACATCATGCATTACGGTATGTGGCAGGTATATGCGATCAGTTATAGGTTAGGATTATGGTTGGGTTATTTATTAACAAGAGGCTAAAAGTTACCCGCTGCTGAAGTACATCGTGTTACACGCCCGTTCGGTGGTGACTACAATTAGCTTAATGAGTTAATTATAAAGTAATTTCACCCACGTATTAGACACATACATCGGAGTGTTACCCAACATTTGCTCTAAAGTGCAGTCATGAAAAGAAAAAGCCCTGATCTTTTTTGACTTCAGACAACCAACAAAATAATTCCCACCCCCCCCCCCCCCCGCCCCCCCCCCCCCCCCCGGTAAGGCGTCTTGCAAAAATTACTCGTGCCCGCCACTTTGCATCCAATGGTTAAATCTTTAGTTTTTTTTGTCCGATGCAACAGTTTCACACATCGTCTTCACAGAGTTCCAATGAGCCGGGCCTTTCGCTCCAGTCTCAAGTCTCTTACAATGAGGCTGAAACTCTTGAGGGTTAACTTATTCCTTACTAAAATTGCAGGCAAGCCATTAAGATGTAGTGCAAAAAATGCTCCTCTGTTCAAAGTCTTTTCGTTCATTTCAGTCTTTTGTTTTTTATTTTCATTTCAGAGCTCGCGAATGCGAGATTGGTGGAAAGTTGACATGGAGACCTTTGGGACAGAGGCCCCTTCAGAAGAGGCCTTGTTTCTTCTTGTCTGGACTGTCAGTCCCCACGTCCAAACCCCAAACCACCGAGCGTGCCTTGTCGCATAAGGCCGCCCCATTCCTGCGCAGTCGCTGAACTTACCACAGCAAGTGTAGACCATCGTGCGTATGTATGTTTTACTTCTCTCGCACCGTACGTAGCCAATCGTGCTAACCGTCTGCACGAGTCAAAACCAGAGGAACGACCACGTTTCCTTTTTGGCTCATCGACTAAACTGAATCATTCATCGATGACACTCTCCAACGGCATTGGCCTTCTGGCGGTCTCTCCATTGGCCGGTTTTGATCACGTGACGTGCCGACGAGCGATGCACATGGCTGGCAGGCACGCTGGAGTGAGCGGCATGGCCGGGCAGCAGCGAGCCCGGCGCAGGTGAGGCTGGAGCCGGGGGAGCGATGGGGAGAGGTCCATGGTGAACAAAACGGCGCGAAGGAACGGCCGACAACCGCAGTCATCGTCTCGCTGTGGTGCGATTTTGTTTTGGCAAACAAAACAAAAATATATATTTTCTTTTTTTTTTGCTCCGGTTTATCTTGAACCCGACATTAGCAGGCAGCTAACAGCATCGCTGTATTTCATAAAACGTAACAAAATACTTTTTAAAAAATCGTTTGGTGTCTTTTGTCGATGTTGTTGTTGTAGTAGTAGTTTTCGAAGCGCGACATTTTTTTATTTCTGCGCTTTCTTGTTAAGGCAACCCGTTTTGAGGACCAAAGTTGGCCGTTCGCACGTTCTCAGTCTCCCTGCACGCGGCTCACGTAAGCGCGCGCTTGCGTGACGTCCCCAACGATGCAGACGGTGCGCCGCGCGCGTCGAACCAGGAGACCCGCCGCGACCATCCCCCACCCACAGCGCCGTCCTTGCGTCGTCCCTGCCACGCCGCCCGCGCTGCCCCCTGCCGCGCGGGAAAAGGCCCCACGTGCAACGAGCGGGCTCTTTTCTCGCCATTCCCGCTCTTCTTCCGTCGTCATTCCTTTCCGATTCGTATATTTGTTTCCTTTTCAACGTCTCTCGCTCTCTCAGTTGTCGATCTCGACGGGAATGGTGTCATCGTTGGGGAGGGACTGCGACTGAATCCACACCGAGGTGTCCTCACCTCGGACCAACTTCTCCCACTGGGCCAGGTTCTCCCTGCGCACACCGGAGGACACAGCGGAGAGACACACGAGGTCGGATGTAGGGGGCACACGCTGTGTCGAGTGCAAGGCCACACGTTCGTCAAATGGTCACCCCCCGATCGTTCAACCACGGTCACAAAGAATCTCAATAGTCCGAAATGCTGACCTGTCCGAATCTCAGCCGTCTCAGCTCTGATCGCTCTCCCTCCCAGCACGAGCGACACAGAGAAGCGGAGTGGAAAGGGACACAGTGTGCTGGGTGCTAGGCCACACAATTACCCAGAGCCACCAAGACCATCCAACCCTCGTCATCATGACCCTCTATTTCACAGCCCTTGATCATCCTAAATATCAGATAAACTGATCCATCACAGAAAGCAATGAGTGGCTCCGATTTCATTAAGATGTTATGATTGCTTTGCATGGTTCCCTTTGGATGTGATGCAATTGGTCCTTCATCAATGCTCCAGGGCTTTAATCCCCTAAAGCTTTGACGAGTTTATCATTCCAAATCTTGGCCGTCCCACCATTGATTATTCTAAAGTGCAGTAGCGAAGGGTCGTAAGCATGGGCCCTGACGCAAAGAGTTAAACAAACTAAACTTAACTAAAACTATTTAATCTTACCAGGTAAGGCGCACTGAGCTACACAGCTCTTTGTCAGAAGCGACCTGGCCACAAACAATAGGTCAACGAAGTGGCTTATCACATGGAAATGTACAGCAGCCAAATACTCTAAAAAGCACGTTTGTAAACGTGGAGGGAAAAACCGGAGGACCCGGAGAAAAATCCCCGAGACCACGGGGCTAGAGACACGCAAACTCCAAATACATACCAGGCGTCAGGGTTCGAATCGTACCCACGCCCTCCTGTGTACTAGGCGAAGTAGTTTACATCTCGCCACTGTGGCGCCCTAAATAGAAAAGCTCCCTGTTAATTTCCACCCCAACTTCGTAGCCCAGTGCCTGGGCTCCTCTAGCACGTGGGCCCCCATACAGCTGCACTGGCTGCATGCTCGACAGCTGCGCCTACAGGCTGCATGCTCGACAGCTGCGCATACTGGCTGCATACTTGACAGCTGTGCATACTGGCTGCATGCTCGACAGCTGCGCATACTGGCTGCATGCTCGACAGCTGCGCATACTGGCTGCATGCTCGACAGCTGCGCATACTGGCTGCATGCTCGACAGCTGCGCATACTGGCTGCATGCTCGACAGCTGCGCATACTGGCTGCATGCTCGACAGCTGCGCATACTGGCTGCATGCTTGACAGCTGTGCATACTGGCTGCATGCTCGACAGCTGGCATACTGGGCCATGCAAGCTGTGCATACTGGCTGCATGCTCGACAGCTGCGCATACTGGCTGCATGCTCGACAGCTGCGCATACTGGCTGCATGCTTGACAGCTGTGCATACTGGCTGCATGCTTGACAGCTGTGCATACTGGCTGCATGCTCGACAGCTGTGCATACTGGCTGCATGCTCGACAGCTGCGCATACTGGCTGCATGCTCGACAGCTGCGCATACTGGCTGCATGCTTGACAGCTGTGCATACTGGCTGCATGCTCGACAGCTGTGCATACTGGCTGCATGCTCGACAGCTGTGCATACTGGCTGCATGCTCGACAGCTGCGCATACTGGCTGCATGCTCGACAGCTGCGCATACTGGCTGCATGCTTGACAGCTGTGCATACTGGCTGCATGCTCGACAGCTGTGCATACTGGCTGCATGCTCGACAGCTGTGCATACTGGCTGCATGCTCGACAGCTGCGCATACTGGCTGCATGCTCGACAGAGCTGGCATACAGGCTGCATGCTCGACAGCTGCACTGGCTGCATGCTCGACAGCTGTGCATACTGGCTGCATGCTCGACAGCTGCGCATACTGGCTGCATGCTTGACAGCTGTGCATACAGGCTGCATGCTCGACAGCTGCACTGGCTGCATGCTCGACAGCTGTGCATACTGGCTGCATGCTCGACAGCTGTGCATACTGGCTGCATGCTCGACAGCTGCGCATACTGGCTGCATGCTCGACAGCTGTGCATACTGGCTGCATGCTCGACAGCTACGCATACTGGCTGCATGCTCGACAGCTGCGCATACTGGCTGCATGCTCGACAGCTGCGCTACAGGCTGCATACTCGACAGCGAGGGCCGCACAGACCGAAGGCCTCACCTGACTCCCTGCAGGAGGGGGTTGGCTGTGGGGAGAATCTCGACCAGGGTGGTGTAGCACGGGATGGCCACCGCATTATAGAAGCCCACCTGCAGCACCGCCACGGAAGGCACGCACCGCAACATCACATCAGCCGCGCTCAAGAAAGGCACGGACGGTCACAATCAGGCATGAGTGAACGCGTTATTGACACTGTATGGGGGGGAGCGTGTTGTCGTTGTATAGGCTGTGCGGTGTTGTGTGTAATATTGTTGTTGTTTCTTATTATTATTATTATTAACCCACAAAAGCCTTACGTCCCTTTTCAGGAGGATCCTGCCCAGTTTCCGCAGTCAGGAGGCGATGCTGCTGCTGTTGTTGCCGCTGTGTGCGATCGCAATTGAGTAATTCGCAGGTAATTGTTCAGCATTTGGGATGTTTACGGCCGAGACCATTTACACTGTTTCGTATTTTATCTGTGGGAAGAACTCGGAAGAAGGAAACCCACGCCAGGAAACGGGAACTCACAAATTCCACACTGATGGGGCGCCCGTGTGAGAAATCGAAAAGCCCCACAGCCCTTCTTGCCATGCCGCCACCCTGACGACGATGGCCTTGCACGAAACCCATGCCATCGAACGTGCCCTCAAATCCTCTGCAGTAGAAGGGTATGGTCCACCACCACTACCTGGCCCACCCCTACCTGGACCACCTCTCCTTGCCCACCTCTCCTTGCCCACCTCTCTAGGACCACCTCTCCTTGGCCACCTCTCCTGCCCCCCTCTACCTGGCACACCTCTTGGCCCACCCCTACCTGGCCCACCCCTACCTGGCCCCCCTCTCCTGGACCACCTCTCCTGGCCCACCTCTCCTGCCCCCCTCTACCCCCGCTGTCTCTAGGCAGTATGACTGCCTCCGTCAGTCTCGATACATTTTCTTCTCCTGGATCTCTTACCTCTGCATCTAGCCACCTGGTTGTCCATCTCCCACTGCCCCTGGTCCCCTTCCACTGTGCGTCCAATCGCCTACCCAGCCTCAATCTCGTAACGTGCGACCACCGCGGTGGCTTGGAGATGTTAACTACCTCGCCTGGTATACAGGAGGTGGTGGGTTCAATCCCGACCTTGACGCCTGCTATATTGCTATATATTTGGAGTTTGCATGTCTCTCTCTCTCCTTGGTTGTGTGGATTTTACTCCGGGTCCTTTGTTATTTTTTCCGAATGAATGTCCGTTTCGAGTACGGCATGTGCCTGCAATAAATGTCTACGTGATGATGAGCCACTTTGTTGAGCTATCATTCGTGGCCAGATCGCATCGGAAAAAAAGAGCTACATAGCTCAGCGGGGCCTTACCTCGTAAAATAAAAAGTTGTATAAATACTTTAGCTGTGAATTAAAGCTACCAACTTCATAGGGGGCTCAACCGGGACACATCATAAGCAGGCAGCCCCTCCCCTCCCCTCCGTGACGCCCCAGCCATGGTTGTACGTAGCCACGGCCATATCGCCGACGCGACGTTCCAATGTCGCGGTTCAATACGGGCTATTGTCTGCGGGGTAAATGCGAGAGGCTCGTCAGCAGGGGGTCAGAATCAAGTCGCTCGCTCGTTAGAAGAGGGGTGCTGCCATTGTCCCAGGGTTTGCTCCCCACCGAGAGCTGTGCGCTCGATCGCAAAGAAGGTTCTGGGGATAGTAGTAGGTTTTTACCCTTTAAACTGGTACAAAACTGACACCTTTATACAAGGCATCATGTTTACAATAACCACAACACAAGTAGTCAAAATGCAAACAAAAAGAAACAACTGATGATGATAATGATATGCACTGTCCTTGAAGTTGATTGGTCCACACCTAAGTACGCCTTTTCGTGTCATCTGGTCCAACACCAATGGAGACTAGGCTCTAAGGAAAGCTGTCTCAGGTGTGGACCAATCAACTTCAAGGACAGTGCATATCATTATCATCATCAGAGTTGTTTCTCTTTGTTTGCATTTTGACTGCTTGTGTTGTGGTTATTGCAAACATGATGCCTTGTATAAATGTGTCAGTTTTGTACCAGTTTAAAGGGTAAAAACCTACTACTATATTTTGCCACTGGTAAAGGGGAGGTCTCATAGTGAAGGCTCTGGGGACTTTAATCTACAACAGTGAGCCAATGGACAATTGGAGTGCGAGTCAATTCACCGAGTGGATGAACGAATTGCTGAGAAAGTTGGCCCTCACCTGACCCTGAGGGATTTCGTCCTTCTTGTCTCGGTCCATCATGGCTATCGGCTGGATTCCATTCTTCTTCATCTCGTCTCCCTTCGGGAAATAAGGAACAGACACAAAGGGCTCAGTAAAGGCTCCAGATCACACGAGTCTGCAATGGTCCTCGATCTCAAAATAAAATAAAAACACCCCTCGATATGGCATATTAACAGACTTCGATTTAAAGCTTTCGTGACTGCAGGGATTCATCTTCTTGATTCTTTCTGTAAAGTCACGTAGAAGGGAAGTAATAAAATAATAAAAATAAAACATTATAAAATAATTCTCACGACGTTTTGGCCACTTGCGTTGTGGCCGAAACGTCGTGAGAATTATTTTATTGTTTTATTTTCATTATTTTATTACTTCCCTTCTACGTGACTTTACCGAAAGAATCAAGAAGATATTAACAGACTGTTGGGGCATGTGCCGTTAGCGAGCACCTATGAAGGCGGGCACGACACACGAGGGGTTGGGTGGCCAGGACCACGCCCAGCCACCTTTGTCTCCCGAATGGCAACATTTACACATGGCACGAGGTACTCATTTGAGGTTGAGTCGATCTTAGAGAGGCCCAGGACCGGTTCAGATAATATAATCGTCACCGGTGTTGGCCGTGAGCAGGATTCGAACTCGGGTCGCCGGGCTCGTAGCGCGGCGCGCTAAACGTTACACCACCGCATCTCAGAACACACACACACTCACACATTTTAATGGGTGGGCGGCCAATAGATTCACTCGGGGGGGGGGCAGGATATAGATGATACCTTTCAGGTTCGGTTGGAAAGTGTTCATTTAAAAAGAGCATCGCGAGCAATCAAGGGGGAGGTGCGATGGTAGCTAGCGACAGCACACACGCTCCAGCGGCAACTGACCTCCGCCCAGAACTCCGCGTAGATGTCGTTGGCGGTGGCTCTGGTCACCGGCCACAGCTTGGTCACGGAGCAGAGGTCACACGCCGTCATCATGAGGCCAATCAAACGGTCCCTGAGCACACACAGACAAAGATCCGCAGTAACGCCTTAACAGACTGTTGAGGCAAGTGCCCCTGGGGTTAACCCCCACCCCCCCTCCCCCCCAACCCCACCAGGTAATCGCTCGCCACCACCAGCATCAGCAGGAGAGGTGGCACGGTTCTCACCGATGGGCCTGGTTCTTGATCTGCAGCTGCTCTCCCTGCAGGATCTCCTCCAGCTGCTTGCGATTGCCAAAGTAGAGCGCGAGGTCCGTGGCGATGATGGCCTTGCGAATTATCTCCAGCACCTCCTCGTACTCGGCCGAGTCCAGGTTCTCAAAGACGCTGTGCCCCTCCAGCTGGCGAGAGACGCGCGAGGCGCAGAGGCAGAGGAACGTTCGGCACGTCAACTCGCACGCGGCCGGGCACGCAAATGAAAAGGCAGCCGATGACGACGATAACAAATCGAACCCACTCCATCCAGCATTCCAGTGCGAGGGAGTTCACAACAATTCACCATCTTCTTGGTTCTTTCGGTAAAGTCACGTAGAAGGGAAATAATAAAATAATAAAAATAAAACATCATCAAATTATTCTCACGACGTTTCGGCCACAACGCAAGCAGCCGTCCTCAGGTGAAGAACAGGTCTGTCGGGAAAACAGCGTCTGAATTCATTATTTTATTATTTCCCTTCTACGTGACTTTACCGAAAGAACCAAGAAGATGAATCTCTGCAGTCACGAAAGCTTTAAATCGGAACAATTCACCACCCCACGGCACATAAATTGCAAAAGGTTCATTCCTCCTCCTCCTCCTTACGAGCCACCAACCTGCAGGATGGAGAGGGTCTGGGCAAAGTGATGCTGCTCCATGGTGGACGTGGAGTACAGCGCAGAGAGGGGCGTCTCAAACTTCTGGAAGTAGGTGTTCGTGTAGCCCCGGTGGTCCAGGTCGTGACACAGACACGCCACCATCAAGCCCTTGCACTGTTGGGAGGAGAGCATTCAGCGCCGCTTGCTTTGTTACGATCAGATGCGGAGTTCGCGTCTTTATTTTTTACTTCTGCGATTTCCAGAGAAGTTGGTGTTCTCTGCTAGGCCGAGATATTCTTAATAGGACAATATATAATTGGGCGATATTTCTGGCAACGGCCCTTCAAAGCGCTGTGAAGAAGGGCCATTGCTCGACTTTTAAGGCCGCAGTGTTATTGACGGATGTGTCGAGTGCCTTTGTTCGTTTGTGCTTGTGCCCCTCCGCCACGGCAGGGGCGTGCTACAAGGATTGGGGAAAGGATGACCGTGATAGAGGGGCACTTGGGGATCACGAAGGGGCAGGGGAGGGATGGGAAAGAGTGGAGGGGCGAAGGCAGGGAAGAGAACGGGCGATGGAGAAGAGGCTGAGGCTTTAAGAGAGGACAACGTCCACGATTGACTGCGACTGATTACACTGGTCAACAAAAAAACACATTTTTTTCTGGCCTGGACTTTTGCAGCTGTTTTAGACTAATTTCAGGGTGCTGATTCCAAATCTAATCTCAGATTTGCTCTATCACATCTCGTTTTTATGCTATCGGCATACCCCATTTTAATTGATTTTACCCGAAATTAACTCTGTCACTTATGATTGCAAGTTGTTGCGAGGCAGGTACTGCTTTAGTGTTACAATAGGGTGCTGTATTTTTAGGATAGTGTGTTTATAATATCATTTTATGTAGATATCCACATTTATTTAATATTTATCTTCTGCAGTTTTTATTGAAAATGCAATATTTGATATCTCAAAAATCTGATGTGATAGACAAAAACTGATGCCAGATTTGGAATCAGCACCCCGAAATTACCTTACAACCGTTGGAATACCTTATGCCAGAAAAAGTGTGTTGACCAGTGTTATAATGGGTGACTGTGAATAGATGAAGCTAAGACTTGCCCATTGCTCATTGTACTCATTTTTGTACTAAAATATTCAGCAATTTGGCTCAGCCTTCAGCAGCGACGGGCATGCAGTCCTCCCCCACCGGCCCTCCTCACCTCAATCTCGGAGAAGATGCCCTGGGTTGCGCTGCAGCAGCACGTACATGCAATGCGCCACCGTCACCGCGTGCTTCCAGTTGTGGTACGGCACGCGGCGGTAGTTCTTGCGCACAGACATGGTGAATCGGCACAGCTTCTCCAGCTCGAAGCTGCTCACCGGCACAAAGACAAAGATCCCCCGTACACATAGGTGACATTTATCCATCGTTAGTGCCACGATGAGGGCGGTGATGATGATTATGATGATCGTTATTATAACGATGACAATTATGAAAGCTCTTTCTGTAACAGTACATTTCAATGATGTTTATTTACATCCTATTGGCATTGGTATGATAATAAGAATGATGATGTTGATGACAATAATGAACATTCTCTATCAGTAACAGCAACTTTTAATGGTGATGATGATGACGATAATGACAAAGAAACTCTTTGTCAACTGTATGTGTGTGTGTTTAACTTCTTTCGCACTGTACATAGCCAACCGTGCCAATTGTATGTGCGGGGGAAGGACAACAAACTAAACACAAAAAACGACATCGCATAAAAGTGAAGTGCTAAATATTGTCTGTGTTACTGACGACAACGATGATGATCACGATGGCGATGAGGACGATGATGCTTACGTCAAAATGGCAAATATGACCGATGAAGAGCGCAGGACAGAATTAGATTATTTATTTATACCGGAGGAATCTGATGAGCTATGAAGCTCTTTTTCACAGATGTCCGGTCGGGGCGGGTCAGAGCGTAACAACAACAAACTAGACAAAAACACGATTGGAGTGCAAAGTATAGGAAAGGCAAAATTAATCACTTGAAAAAAAAAATGCACAAATAAAACTAAACTCTTATTATTTTACCAGGAAAAAACCCCACTGAGCTAATAGCTTCTTTTTGAGAAGCGAGTTGGCGGCCACACATGGATAGCTCAACGAGGATGGCTTATCATCACGTGTAAATGTATGGCAGCCACAGACCCCGGGGCGTGGAGGGCTATCGATCCTAGGTGACTGAATAACAATTGCTGCTGCGGCCCCTCTCGCTGTCTCTGTGCATTCACCTCCACCCACCGCTCCTCCCCCTTCCCGGCTGCGAAATTCTATTCCTGGCCACACGCAGCACGGGCAGCAAATTCTGCTACTCTCTGCCGAATAGAACACGTGACTTTACCGAAAGAACCAAGAAGAAGAGCCCAGTGTGCAGTTGACAACGAGGAGCCACGGAATAGCCACGGCGGAGAGGAAAATGAACACATTTCTTGAACTTAACTTGGGAATTGGGCCACGCCCTGCAGGATATGAAAGTCCGGCCCCTGGTTTTGCCACGTTTAGGCAAACAGTTTAGCATTTGCCCAGAAGGCAAAGAAACTGAAGCCTTCAATAATAAATTGCTTACTTCCCTACAATAGCAGGCCAACGGTTTACGGCCAAGTTGACTTAGGGAGTGACCTCGTGTTTTGCTCCTCGTGTTGAAGAGAATGCGCCATGATGTACAAACTGTGGTGACATCACTCCCTCAGCCAAAACACAGACACAAAAGACAAAGATACCCTATGTAACCTACGCAGGTTGTTGGGGCAAGTCCTGTTAGATATAGCACCTAGGAAGGCAGGCATGGCACACGAGTGGGTGCTGCGGCCAGAACTACGCCCGGCCGCCTTTGTCTCCCTTCTCGCGATGTTTGCGCTTCCGCTCCCCATTAACCACACACACACACACACGAATATACACGACAACAGCCGCTATTTGCCACTAAGTGGCGGTGACGTCACCACGGCGCATGTGCCAGGCTATGTGCATTTTCAGGCCACGTGAAGTGTCAAAGGCTCGATGGCAAGAGGTCGACGGCACAGACCCAGGTGCCATGGGTTGGCTGACGGTGATGACTGGCAGATGCACTACCAAGTGCCCCCTACCGTGCCAAATATCAAACTGATACACACAGTTGCACACAGAGTCCCTGCACGAGTGCGATTACTTCCGCAGTGAGCGCGAGGACACATTTCATATCCTTCCTCCCCAGACGTCAGCAGAATAAGTAATCCCACGACGCTCAATTAAGCCGATCGCATTGCATCATTGCATAAGCCCAGCTGGCAGATTAATTCCCCGTCTTGACGTCACAAATATAATGTGACATTCGCCAATGGGTTTTTTTTTTCCACGCTATAATGACGGTCGTCAAACACCGAGGACGCTAGAGGGCGGAAACGGAGCTCCGCCAAAGGGCATAAAGACTTCACCCGGCTCCCTGCGTAGATTAACGCTGCGGTGTTATATTGTTATTACTACTACGATGACGACAATTCTACGCAACTCCCTGGTCGAATCAGAATCAGAGTATTAATTCACTCTGGAGGAATCCTTTGAGCTGTAAAGCTCTTTTTCACAGGTGAACGCTGCATTAAACACCACCGACACACGCCCCGTGGCTCTCACGCAACCACCTCCCACGTGTCTCCTTTTGCTGTGGTCATTCCATACACAACCACGCCAACACACCACGCGTCGATCGAATAACGGTGGGGTAAGAGGTGGTGTAGTTTGGACCGGTGTGGCACGGTGCGGTGTCGTATGTTGTACATACGTATGTTGCACTTATTTAGAGCGGTACGTAGCAAACCATGCTAATCGGAGGTGTGTGGGAAAGGCAAGAAACTGGTGTGCTCTACTAATGTGGTCAATATATTATCTATCGGAATCGTTGGTTATTATACACCACTAAACCAAACCGTGCGATGCCAGAGTCGGTTGATCGGCAGGCTTCGTGGTCGGGTAGTAAGTGTGGGTACTCCAACCTTTGCTAAGTCGTCTGGACATTGTGGAAGAGTAGGCCAAAACACCCTCTCTATAATAATTGTTTTTTTACCCTTCTATCTGGCAACAAAACTGACACCTTTTTTACAAGGAGTCATGTTTGCATAGACCACAATACCTGTAGCCATAATGCAAACAAAAAACATAACTCTGATAATATATGCACTGTCCTTGAAGTTGATTGGTCCACACCCGAGACAGCTTTCCTTAGAGCCTAGTCTCACATGGGTTGGACCAAATGACGCCAAAACATGACTCCTTGTAAAAAAAGGTGTCAGTTTTGTTGCCTGATAGAAGGGTAAAAAACCAATTATCATATTTTTACTGGCAAATGAGGTTCCAATGGTGTAAACCCTCTCTATAGTTCGCTCTGGCGGAGGCTCTTCCATGAACAGTGACGTGCGCAAGCAATTGCAGGGCTGCACCTTTGCCTACACCCATGTCTGTACTGCGAAGCAATACCACAGAGGGCAGGCAATTAAGAGCCGTTGGAAGAGCGCACACCGAGACGTCGCCGAAGTGCCATCGAATGGAAACGTTGAATGAAAAAATTGGCGTTCGAACCCGCAGGCATGATTAATTAACGGTACGGGTAAATAAACGCGAGTGCGTGTCCTCGTGTAAACGCCGGGGAGACCGCGGCGGCAAGGGCACGGTGCCGGCTACACCAGCCCGTGGTGCGACACCTGTGTCCTTCGTGGGCGCTCGCTAACGGCGCTCGACCCGACAGAGGCCTCTTCGGCAACGGCGGGGATTGTCGTCGTCGCCGACGTTTAATTAAAAATAAAAAAGCATCCGAAGTAACAGTGGAGTGCACCACCGTTGCACTCTAGTAACATCACCGCGGGTGAAGTTTTATTCAAGTCTTCAACAGTGAGGCAATAATTACATCACGTATAGTACGGCTGGCCAAGCATTAACGGATTCATTTCACTTTGCTGAAGCTTCAAACGTCTGTCTGACAGCTGGTGGGCACGTGAGTACCGGTCCACTCCGTTGTCAATCGTCGCCATCTCCGTTTGGCGGCTCGTGTGGTGCCCTCCGGATCGTCCCGCACACTTGGGACAGCGAGATTTGGACCTAGCAAGCTTTGCAATCAGCGGTCCATTGGCATGGAACTCACCTATTTAGCGGTCCATCAACTTGGAACTCACCTAGCTACTCGCTCACCTACTCACCCACTCACCCCCACCCACTCACCCACCCACTCACCCACTCAGCGGTCCATCAGCTTGGAACTCACCTAGCTACTCGCTCACCTACTCACCCACTCACTTACCGACTCAGCGGTCCATTGGCCAGGAACTCACTACCATTGCACGATGTTCGACACTCTACACAGACAATTAACCAGCAAATTAAACATTTCAAGACAAAACTGCATCGATATCGCACACTCGTGATGAACCTAGGTTATAAGAGTTTCGGCAAAAGCAAATCAAGGGAATGTTTACGGCCCCAAGAAACTCAAGAACCCTGGATTCATACGAATATCAGTGTGCAAAATTCACGCCGTAAATAATCAACGCAAGACAATTAACACAACACGTCAATATAATCTATCTCATCTACGTTTATTTCGTCTACAATTCTCTCATCGCGCTACACGCGCATCTCTTCTCACGAGGATTTTACGAATGTGCTTTAAGCTTCGGGCCTGCCGATTGGGCTAGCCTCGCCAAAATAAGAGTTGCTTTCTTTCAGAGCTGTTGTGTTTTCATTTCAGTGCATCTGGCCGATACCCGGACTTGAACCCAAGCCACACAGTGCCGTGCGTTCAATGGCTTCCACAAGGGCATTGTGAGAGCCCTCTGAGCCATTGGGCCACCTCCAAAACATATATATATATTTATATTTGAAACCACTTTAAATAATTAATTTCTGTCCCCAGAGCCGCGATTACGCAACTGCGCTGACGCACGAGAAGAGGGAACGAAAAAGCCACTCCTCCAGGGAGCCAATCAGGTGGCTCGCAGGGGCTGATGGGAGCTTCCCAGAGGGAGCCAATCAAAGGGCACCGTGAGCAGACTCCAGGGGGGCACAAAGAGCAATCGTAGCCCCCCCCCCGCCCCCCACAAACTCAGCTCTCCCGCCCCCCCCACCCCCCCCTCTTGCCCAGTTAACATTTACCAAAGGCAGCTACGACGACGTTTAATTGCAGCATTATTCGCAGCTCGAGTGAGGCGGTATAGGGCAAGATTAGGTGTGACGCTCTGTGTCAAAGCCGGGCCAGATTAGACTGCAGAGTTAATCCTTATCCACATCCATGTCGCACACACACACACACACGCGCGCGCGCGCGCACGCACTCAAACGCTTGCGTGCACATTGCACGCAAAGGAGACAAAGATCTCCCGTGTAGCCTTAACGGACTGTTAGAGCAAAGTGCTGTTAGCGAGCACCAGTGAAGGCCAGCGCAGCACACGTGGGGACGGGTGACCAGCACCATGACCGGCCTCCGCACCGGGTACTAATTTAAGGCCGAGTAATCCTAGGGGAGGTTCAGACATAGACATGTATATACACCGCAGCCGCCATGTGCCACCAAGTGGCTGTGACGTCTCCGAAGCACTTGTGCCAGGCTAGGTGCACTATGAGGACACGTGAAGTGTCGTGGGCTCACTGACAGGAGGTCACCGGACAGACCCAGGTGTTATGGGTTGACTGCCTGAGATGATTGGCAGATCCAGCAGCTGTGCTCCTTAATGTGTGAATATATATACTGTATCTAACACACACTCGTCACCATACAGACACACATACATCGCACATACAACACAACACACGCGAGTACATGTGTCCCACACGCACCTGCTCTGGCCACAGCAGTTGTGCACCATGTGCAGAAAGAAGGCAGGCCACAGGTCCTCGAAGGGCCCAATGTCAAAGTGGTACCTGTGTGAGCACACAGCGCCAAATGAGCACACAATCAGCACAGCGACTGCGACGCCGCCTCCACATTCGTCACGCTCGCTCCTTCGGCGCGGACTGCGAGCCGCAACCAGCTTGCCAGTCGCCTTTTCAGGTTCCTGGCAAGACGCCCGGCTCTTTGATCACGAGATCACCGTTCCCGGCGCGCGCACCGAGAGCCAGCACCGGTTCTCACCGACCACGGTCACCAGCGCCGCTTTCACAGAAGGTTCGGGTCCACCGCCGAGCGGCCGGTTGCACGCGAACTGAATCAGAACTATAAAAGACGAATACTATTTTTTTATTTTACCAGGTAAGGCCCCACTGTGCTGTGTAGCTCTTTTTCAGAAGCGTCCTAGGCGATCACAAATGGATAGCTCAACAAAGTGGCTCATCACGTGGACTTTTATTGCAGCCAAATACTCTAAAGGCATGTTTATAAATGCGGAGGAAAAAACCCGGAGGGAAATCCACACGACCACGGGGAGAACGTGCAAACTCCAAATATACAGCAGGCGTCAGGGTCGGGATTGAACCCGCAACCTCCTGTATACCAGGTGAGGTAGTTAACATCTCGCGAAAACGTGGAATGTCTTCGCAACCCGTTGCGAGCGGTCGGGAAACCGGTTGTTTGCAGTGGAGACCAACTCGTTCTTTCGAGTGTCGATACGCTCGCAGCGATTCGTGGCGCCGGGTATTTGGTTGCTCGGGACTCCCGAACGCACCGTTTCAATTCGCCTGTGTTGCGTGCGATTTCGAGAGCAATTTGGGTCTCATCGCGGCTTTACGGGGGGCGTGGGCGGGGGGGGGGGGTTAAAACTAACTCTATTTGCTCTATTGGCGCTATCAAAAACAAATCATTGTTATCGTCACAATCATCTTTCTCTCTTCTTATTCTCTCTCTCGAATGCTGCTCTTTCCTGCCCGAGACCACAACGAGGTTTTCCTCTGTCGATGCGTTCAAAGTCTGTGGCAGACGCGGCAATTGCTTTGGGGGGGGGGAGGGCGACGGGGGTGGTTCTGCTTTCTCTACGTTTTTTTAGTTTTGCTTATTTTCGTGGGGGAAAAAAAAATGTACATGCAAATGAAGGGGAAAAAAAGCGAGGATGGTTACTCACAGCTCTATCTCCTTGGCGATGGGCGTGGGCAACGTGCACTGCATGAGGCTCTGCGACTCTTCCGCAGTGCACACGCTGTGGTACGACAGCTTCTCCAGCGTAACCCGGAAGATGCACTCCGAGTGCCGGATCCGGTGGTACATCTGTCGCGCGTTTATCGTTTCCACACAGTCGCCGGGAAGGGGGAAATAAAATCAATGCATAGCTCCCGCCGAATGTGAATACCTGATTGATTGTGGATACCCAAGCCTCCCAATGCAATGTCGGCCGTAGAGGTTGTCTGGCCATACTTCACCACGCTGGTCAGTGCTGATTGGGGAAAAGGACCGGTTCAGATATCGCTCGCCACCAATGTCAACCCTAGTCATGATCTGAACTCAGGTGCGCTAAGACACCTTGCCAGTGCTCCAAACGCAGCCCTTTACTGCCATTGGCATTGTGGAAAAGGCCACGCAGTGTCCGTGCCTACGACATCAGGCAAGCCGGCAGCGTTTGTTTGACACTTGCCGATGAGCCTCACGAAGTCAAAACTGACACGAAGTTTGCGTTTCTTTCCAAATTTGATCGGTCAGGGGAAAAAAGTATCAACTCAGAAGTCTTGCCGAACAAGGGGGTGTATCGCCTCTGTTTATGGAGGGGACGCCTACGCTGATTTCGTGAACACGTTCCCCTAAACGACTTCCACGGCGCTCCAAGTCCACGTTTAGTTGTGGACGCTAGGGGGAAGCACTTTGCCGCACACCGGCACGGATCGCTCTGACCGATGTCTTACGTTTTTGTCTCCGCGTTGGAATTGAACCGAGCCGAGTGAAATTTTACGCAAAATTATTTGCGTGCAGTCATTGCTGCTCGGAGATTACGACGGTTCGTTCAACGCGATGTCCGACGTCTCATCCTACATGCTGGGGGCTACTTCAGGAGCTGAAATGCGTCCCAGTTATGGAACTCAATCAAGTTGCGGTTTTAAAACTCGATTCAGTTCTTATTTCGCAACTCAATACAGTTGTGTATTTGAAACTCAATTGAGTTATTAATTTGAAACTCAATTCAGTTCCACTTTTGAATCTCAATTCAGTTTCCTGCCCCCTCCCCCGGCTGAGCTCCTAGCACGTGGACAACAAAACGTGGCGACAGCATCGTTGCCGAACAACGCGCGGGGCGCAGGCCGGACGATGCGCGGCGCACAGTCAGAGGACGAGAGAGCCCCCCCCCCCTACCCCGCACCACCCCACCCCGGTCGAGGACTCACGTTGGCGCAGTGCAGCGCAAGGGCGCAGAAGACGGCGAACATCTTGAAGTTGTTCTCGTCCGTCTTGGTGAAGGCGCTGCCCGACAGCTTGTTGACCATCTGCACCACGCCGATGACGCTGCCGCGGCTCACGATGGGCATGCACAGGATGTTACGCGTCGTGTAGCCCGTGTACAGGTCCACCTCGCTGTTGGGGGGGCAGCCGGGGAAAGAGAGGGGGTGGGGGAGGAGAGATGCAAGGGGGTGGGGAGGAGAGATGCAAGGGGGGGGGGGAGGTTATCGATTTTGAAACGGAGAGACGGAAGGACGCCGTTTTACAGGTTTCCCGCCTCACTTGACGTAGTGGAAGATGCGTTCCAGAAAAAGGGGCGCACAAAGCGAAACCGCGCGAGACGGTTGCATCTTGAGCAGCGTGCACAAAGACAAAGATTCCCCATATAGCCTTAACAGACTGTTGGGGCAAGTGCTGTTAGCGAGCAACTATAAAGGCCGGCACGGCAGACGAGGGGATGGGTGGCCAACACCACGCTCGGCCACCTTTGTGTCCCGAGTGGCAACGTTTACACACGGCACCAGGTACCGATTTGAGGCCGAGTCGACGTAGGGGAGGCCCAGGACGGTTTCAGATGATCGTCACTGGGGATGGCCGTGAGCGGGAATGGAACTCGGGGCACCGGGTTCGTAGTGCAAACGCAGGCCTCGCAAGAAGACATCCAAATCTGGCTCGCAACCCAGCAGGGTCACGGAGGAGACGGGGCGGCTGGCGTCAGGTTGGTCATGTGTGGCGTAAACGACGACGACTCCCCCCCCCCCACCGCCTTCCTCCGATCCACATCATTCTCTGGGACGATCGAAGGGCTGACTGACCGTGTGACGTTCCGGCTCTCGCAGTCGTAAGGTTTTGCGCCCAGTTCAAATCCACGGTCATCCAAAATAACGGATCCAAAACCTCAACAACCCAGTAATAACAAAATAAGATCAGGGATCCTGCCTCGGTGTCACTGCTAGCAGACCGGATGAGGGCAAGTTTTGTATCTCACCCACTAAACATCTCTAAACATCTCTGAACGTAAAACAAAAAAACAGATAAATGGCCGTTTGCATTCGGTGACTGCAGGAATGCATATTCTTTGGATCTTTCGGTAAAGTCACGTAGAAGAAAATAACAAAAAATAACCCCCTCTTCCTGATGACGACCGCTTGTGTTGCGATCGAAACGTCGTAGTTTTTTGTTATTTTTTGTTATTTTCTTTTAACCTATCTACGTGACTTTACCGAAAGACCCAAAGAAAAATGCAGTAAAATTTACACAAATGGTTAATGCACAGGACTGCATTTTATAAAGCTATATAGATGAACACCCTGGACTGCAAACCCTAAAGCTTCCGCATTTAACCTGGTACTGAGTGTACATTTAAGACCCTTCGATATCCTCATTTACAAACCATCGGCTCATGCCGGCCACATTGCCCAATGCCAACGTTTGCTCAATTACCCAGGACTAAATTTGCACGTTAATAGCTGCCCAGGAGCAATTGCAATCATCCGGATGTCTCCTGAAACAAACAGCCACTCTCTCCGGGCTTCTCACCTGGTTCAATAAACGATTTGTGAAAAAAAATGCAATTAAAATATGGCACCACGTTGGGAGCGGTGAAGAAATGCACACTCAAAATAACATCGCCGCCGCCACCGTCACCGCCGTCACCGCCGCAGCCACCGAACGAAAGCATTATGAGGGCGCGCACGTTGCACGCAAAGTTGCTCGCCACGAACGAACCACAGCACCTCGCCTATCTCGTCGAGGGGGCTCAAACCATCGCCGCGACAGCGGGTGTTGGCTAACCATCGAACAAAGACGTTCTTTCGGACGCGCTTCCGCGGTCGTCTGGAATGCTCTTTCTTCTGATATTAGGAAGCCGCTGGAGCTGTGGACTTTTATATTTAGATTGAAACCTTTTTTTCTGAACTGATTTTTGTGTTTAGTTTATTGTCCTTCCCCCAGACTTCCGTTCAGCATGGTTGGCTACGTCGTGCGACATAAGTTCAACATACATCGTCACAAACCGATGTCTTAGAACTAAAACATGTGTACATGGTCAGCCCTTTTGTTGATTCCGTCAGATTTATCTTTCCTTCCCCCAGCCAGGTGGCTAAGGCTGGAGTGGGTGGTGTTGGTGTGGTGGGTTGGTGGTGTGGGTGGTGTGGCTGGTGTGGGTAGTGTGGGTGATGATAATTGGTTTTTTACCCTTCTATCTGGCAACAAAACTGACACCTTTTTACAAGGAGTCATGTTTGCATCGACCGCAATGCCTGCAGTCATAATACAAACAAAAGACATAACTCTGATAATGTGCACTGTCCTTGAAGTTGATTGGCCCACACCCGAGACAGCTTTCCTTAGAGCCTAGTCTCACATGGGTTGGACCAGATGATGCCAAAAGGGCACAACTCAAAGACAATGCACCATCAGAGTATAAGAGCTCGGGGTAAGCATTTACACCATGGGAACCTCATTTGCCAGTAAAAATATGATAATTGTTTTTTTACCCTTCTATCTGGCAACAAAACTGACACATTTTTACAAGGAGTCATGTTTGCATAGACCGCAATACCTGCAGTCATATTACAAAAAAAAGACATAACTCTGATAATGTCAGTTTTGTTGCCAGATAGAAGGGTAAAAAACCAATTATCATATTTTTACACAGTGAGTGCGAGCCACTTGCCGGTTGAAGCGCGGGTCTGCGTAGGCGTCGGGAATGTTCAGCACCATCCCCGTCTTGGCCACCTGCCCAGCGATGCCCTTCTCGATGGAAAACCTGCAAGGTGAGAAGACGAATGACATGAAGGAGACGAAGGAGGAGGACCCAAACGGGTGATCACAGTGGCAACCGCCGAGTGATTTTGCGCCGCGCGGAAGTCAACTTCCTACCTGGGTTGAGGCCAAATGGAAAATGACCGGTCATCGGAATTATTTTTTCACGTACTTCTCATCAGAATTCGATTAGCGGCAAAAAGACCGTGGTCTCTGACTTCCTCTGTCATCGATGCTGCCTCACAACTGAGATTCTGGTTAAAATTGTTCACCGGGAAAAGCCATCGGGACCATTATCAGCCGTTTCCAGAACTTTAACCCCCCCCCCCCCTTTGTACACCCGTCACAACAAGCGCGTCTACAGGTCCTGTGGTCAAATCCACTGCTGGATGTGGGTGTCATGGCGGACTCGACGCCCAAGGTTACAGGGAGTTCCACGACGTTTGTACAATCCACACTCTCGCCTCCCAAGCGCCGGATCACCTGATCTCCTTTGTTTTCCTGAAGACAGGCTGGCCTTCCTTCTCCTCCCCGATGTCAAACAGGTCGGAGTAGAGCTCGTTGTTCTTGTGGTCGACTTGGAAGAGAGCGCAGCGGTCCGCGTTGACCAGATTCTTGGCGTAGATCTGCATCGCCCCGCGCACGCGCGGCACAACACAAAGGCAAAGATCCCCCATGTAGCCTTTGACAGACTGTAAGGGCCAAGTGCCGTTCGCCAGCGCCTATGAAGGCTGGCACGGCACACGAAGGGGTGGGTGACCAGCACCATGCCCAATCGCGTTTGTCTCCCTCGCAGCGATGTCTACACACCACCCCGGGTACTCATCTTAAGCTGAGTCGACCTAGGGGAGATCCAGGACCGGTTCAGATAATCGTCACTGGTGTTAGCCATGAGCGGGAATCAAACTTGGGTCGCTACTTTAGGTGATCTGTAAGAATGTTGAACTTCTTCCGCGCCTTATGTAGCCGACCGTGCTAATCGGAGGTGTGAGGCAAGGTCAACAAACCAAACACACAAAGCAGTTCTAAAGAAATACTTTTCGATCTAACATTTAAAAGTGCATAGCTCCAGTGGCTTTCTAATATCTCTGTCCTGGACAGTGGAGCGCGCGCGCCCCGTGACTGTTTTGGCAAGGTGATTAGCCCGGTTGGCTACGTACGGTGCGACAGAAGTTCAACGTACACACAGGGCGTCAACATGACTCGGGTAGCGTACACGCAAAGCGCCATCGACGCGCTGTGGTGCTCCACCGTCGACCGAACATCCCACGGTGCCGCTGTCACGTCCCCCCCCCCCCCTTCTCTCTCGTGTACACAGCCACGGCAAACGTGGCACGCACATGCACACGCATGCACGCGCACGCACACACGCACATGCACGCATGCGCACGTACACATGCGTACGCACACACTCACCAACGTGCACCTTCGCACAATTATTTATCGGCTCGCCCCCCCCCCCCCCCCCTATTCTTGAGCGGCAACGTCTACGGCGCAAATCAACTGCCGGTCGGAAACAGTGAAGGACTCATCTTCTTGGTTCTTTCGGTAAAGTCACGTAGAAGGGAAATAATAAAATAATAAAAATAAAACAATTAAATACAATTCTCACGACGTTTCGGCCACAACGCAAGCAGCCGTCCTCAGGTGAAGAACAGGTCTGTCGGAAAGACAGCGTCTGTCGGAAAGACAGCGTCTGAATGAGACGCTGTCTTTCCGACAGACCTGTTCTTCACCTGAGGACGGCTGCTTGCGTTGTGGCCGAAATGTCGTGAGAATTGTATTTTATTGTTTTATTTTTATTATTTTATTATTTCCCTTCTACGTGACTTTACCGAAAGAACCAAGAACATGAATCCCTGCAGTCACGAAAGCTTTAAATCGAAAAGTGACGGACTCACCATGATGTGCTCCAGAAGAGAATCGATGGCGACGATGTTGTCAAAGTACGTTCTGCGGGATTGAAGGCAGGGCGGACAACAGGGCGGGTTAGGGGTCCGTGCCTACGGACGCTTTGGCGGTCTACTCTCCGTGGAAAGCAAAGAAGGGACACTCTTAAAGCGATGATCAATTCGCCCAGAGCGCACCCCATCTCACCACATCCAAGAAGCTCAGCCGGTGTTTTGAGCCTGCCTAGTGTGCAAGATGGGTGACCACCACGGACAAAAGACCGGAGCAGTAGCAGTAGGCATTGTGGGCAGTAGAGGGCAATGCAGCACAACCTATGTTTATTCTGCATCCCAGCCCGCAATGACCAGCGTGGTGAAGTATGGTCAAATATCCCTGATGGCTAGGGTTGCCACCTGTCCAGGTTTTTCCAGGATTGCTTTCTTTTTGAAAAAGCTGCTGTCCTGGCAAAAAAAAGTGTGTTTCTGGGTCATTAAAGGCCCAGGGTTTTGTTAGTTGTCACTAGAATATTAATGACAATGACGATGCACCAGTCAAGGCAACGCTTTCACACGTAGTTCTCCCCTCTGCCGGTATCGCGAGAGATTCTACTTCACGTGTGTCCCGCATTTTTGTGGTGCAGAAGCCCCTTATCGGCCAGTAGATTTTTGACGAAACGGGCTGCAACAACTTCCCGCAGGCGCGGTTCGTGTCCACTAGGGGCTTTGGGGCGACGCCTCATCAAGCAGCTGGAGGTTGAGAAATGATTTTTCTAATAAAAAAATCTATTAATTTTTTGTCGTGTTAAAAAAATTTAATTTCGATTTAAAGTTTTCGTGACTGCAGGGATTCATCTTCTTGGTTCTTTCGGTAAAGTCACGTAGAAGGGAAATAAAAAAAAAATTTATGTTGAATTTTTTTTATTTTATTATTTCCCTTCTACGTGACTTCACCGAAAGAACCATTAAAACATTTTTTTTTGTAATTATTCTTTCAACGTGAATTGCCTCGTGAAGGTAACATTTTAAGTTGTTCACAGTCTGATTTGTGCCTCGGGGAGGTCTCGGGGCGGCTGTGAAGGCGTCCTACGAGCAAGACATGTCCCCTTCGTTCGTTGCGATGAGCTCCTAGCATTGTAGCTGCACCATCTGAGACCCATTCAGGGCGGAGAAAAGACGCCCGTGGCCACGACGCGAGGTTGCACCGTGCAAATAGAGCAGGTCACGGCTTTTGGCAGCGTCAGCGGGGTTGTGTCGTGTGGACTTGAGGGTCATGGGGACAGCATTTGAGTGCGTTGTTGTTTTGTTTCCTATTGGTTATAAATAGGACAGCTATATCACTTTCACAGGAAGGCCAATAACATGACGTGGTTGTTCTTCATCAGAACACCATCTTTTCAGAGGTCACTCACACCTTTACATCAGCCGCACCTAGTTTACACAACAAAGGCTCAACAAAGGCTCATTCCTAACAGCGTGCTTCAGCCGCACCGAACCTCACAAAAACAATATTCAGGGCCTACCTTGGCTCCTCCCACCCTCAACCAGTATATATACAAGGACTGTTGTCTTGGAATTTCTCTGACTCGATACAGCAGTCGTGCTGTGACGGTTCCACCTGAAGACTGAGGCTTGTGTTGCCTCCGAAACGTCGTGATATTTTTATTTATTTTACTTTTATTAATTTTAATTAAAAAAATTTACCTATGTGACTTTACCGAAAAAACCTAAGAATATCACTCATAACAGTCCCGCCTGGTGGCGATGTCACGAACCCGCCGCTGATTGCCCGCGCAGCTGCCCGGCGGTGGCACGCTCCCCGCTTGTTACCGACGTTCTCAGTTGGAATGCGGCCGTCTGGCCAGCCTGGTGCTCGAACCGTGGGAATACTACGCCGCCCGCCTCCCAGAGGGCATCAGAGATCACGTGACGTCATTCGAAATTATGAGGCCACCGTGTGCTGGCGTCATGGCCCAAATATGCCACAAGTTTGTAATAAATAAATAAATAAAAATGCACACCGCGATTTGCTCGATTTGGGATTTACGCGGAGCGGCAAACGTCCGCAGAGCTTGGCCGTGAGACGCAGCGACGCCTCCCCTCGCCGTATCCTTGCGCTTTAAGACTTGCGCGGAATGCGAGATGTCATAAATTATTAATTATCATCGTTTTTTCCCCCCCTCTAATTTCCGTTGCGAGCGACGGTGCGGGCGCTGCAACAGCTGCGACGCAGTGACGTGCGTAGTGTAGGCCACGGTGCCTGCCCCAGGGTCGTACATTTCTCGACAAGACCGGCAGCGCGGCCCCTGCTCACGTGCTCGGGACTCGTTAAGCAAACACAATATCCCGCGCTAAATAATAGATGCCAAGGGTGAATTAATCATCGCAAGTGGAGTTGGGGGGGGGGCATTTTCAAGGGGGGGAGGGGAAGGCAAAGGGTGTCACGGACAGAAGAACGCACTTCACAGTAAGCAAGCGCTGCGCCGCTCGCCAACGGGACAACATTGACACACGGCGTCACCTTTGCCAGGGGGTGGAGCGGTGGCACGGTGTTTCTACCGCGCTGCGCTATGAACCCGGCGACCGGAGTCCGATGCCAGCGGCAAGTGATATCTGAACCGGTCCGCCCCCCCCCCCCTCTTGGGTTTTTCTCTCTGGGCACTCTTGCTCCCAAATGATGACAAAAAAAACTCACTGTTTTTATAGAATAAATATCCCGCGAGCAGTATCCTCGTAGGAACATCGTCATGAGACTCGGTGAGTCTCCACTGAGCAGATAAATAATGAAAGTTGCCAGTTGGAATTACTCGGATAGGGGGTGCAATGGTCACCACGCTGCACTTCGAAGCCGAGGATCTGAGTTTGATTCCTGGGAATGGCTAACATCAGTGGCGAGTGATGTCTAAACAGGTCCTGAGCCTCCCATCTTCACCAAGACGCACTGACCAGCGTTGACGAAGTATGATTGAACAAAGAAATAAATAGATACATATGAATGACATTGGTGGATTGAGAATGGCTGTATTTTCTGTTTGTGCTTGTTCTCATCATCTTTAGTCTAAACCTTCCGACGACACAAAACACAAAGAGCCACAGGCTCGGGTAAAGCGGTCGCTTTAACGCTGCTCCCCATCCCGATCTCGTGGACTCACTTTGAAACGTCCAGGAGGAAGTCGTTGAGCTCCGTCTGCTTGGCCAGCCCATGACTCACCTGGGAGAGGAGGAGGGGGGGGGGGGGGCACGTGACAGCACTCCGAGACTGCTCCTTGATATCCGCGAAGGGAAAGTGGTCCACGTGCCAATTCAATACCGTTTGTGCGTAAACTTTCACCCATGCTTTCAAGTGTAAAGTGAGACCTCCAACGATGATTCGGTCGGTCTCTCAGCGGTGAAAGAAGGGGGCAAACCCGAAACCAATGAGGCGACAAGATATTGTTGGTGTCTTTGCTTTTATTTTGTCTTCGCTACCAACTGTATCCCTGAATGTGCCATCGGAGTCGTGTCTAAGTTTGCTGCCAAATCGTCCGATCCAAGGTCCGTGATAACCGTATCGCTCCATTCGCTAAATATCACCACATCCCGATCAACAGTTAAATGTTTTTTTCTTAATTGTATTTAATTTCCATACGAAATAATTACGATTAGCAATTACCCTTCCAATTCATGTTTTGCTCATTTATTTCCAGAGTAATTAACGGCGTGGTAATTATAGTATGTCATTATTTTCACCATTAATTTAATTATGTAATGATCTCTTCTGTAACTGACAGCACGTGTCTTATCAGTGCTATAGATTGTGAATTTGAAATGTATCGAATACTTCCGGCAGGCTTGTGCTGAGTTAACTGCAGTTATCTTTTAGTTAAGTTTTCTTTATTAAAAATGAAAGCATTGCAAAGCACAAGCACAATTGAATACAAATTGTAAATCCCATTACAAGGTCAAAAGGGGAAATGAGACTACGATAATCGTTACATCCTAAAAATGAAGTTCACATTGCACCGTGAAAATTCAAGAGATGATAAACGAATTGAGATCTCTCGCAGCACAGTGTTAGAGAACAGCCCACAGAAGCAGACACCCCAGAGCTACCTCTGAGATCCCTTCAAGTGACCTCTGGTCCACACAGTTGGGGGCGGCACTTTCCCACCCGCCCTGCAACATAGAGTAGTGTGTGTCGCATGACAATTACAATTATATGTTTTAATTCTCAGACCTGAAGCTGTGCCAAATTACGCGTGGTTGCCCAATCCAGAGCCCTCGTTGATTTCGTGCTATCATCGGTGACTGGGCTGAGGCCATCAACTCACGACACTTGAGGACCCGATATAACCATAAGCCGGTTCCCTGGAATCGAACCCAAAACCTCAGTGGTGCCACCCAGCCACCTCCCACGTATCCCTCCCATGAGGAAAGTGTTACTTTATTTTCTCTCGATTATTGTTTGTACACCACCGGTCCTTCCGTTCGTTCAATAAAGCAATGGTGGGCTGAGCGCTCACCTTGACAGCCGCGAGGCGGTGCACCCAAAGCCGTGGACGTCAAGTGCATCGACGTCGAGGCACCAAATTAAAAGGGCCCTAATCGGCACTGACCGTCTACCCCACAGCTTTGGCCACGAAGCCCACGAGCCCTCGCTCGTGATTTAGTGGAAGAGCAATTCTGCGTTTCACAGACAGGGGTCAGGCCCGGGGTTGTTTCTTAAAGGCTAGTCGTGTGACTGTGACGTTTCTCAGTTTTGTTTTGTGGGGTTTTTTACTCACGGAGCCAACGGGTGGGCTCAGCTTCAAATTGAAAACTCACGAATGAGTTGGCATTGAGACCAACTCAAACCGCCGCACGGATGAAAAAAAACAGCGCTTAATATCTCACGGAGTATATCGTGAGCCGCCGGACAGACTGGCAATGTTGCGGCACGTGACTAGTGGTAGCCACATTGCGGTAGGCAAGCAGGACGCGATATTCCGGGTGTGTGAATGTGTTTTAATGAAGACGATATAATAGGTGAGTTGAGTAGGAGGCAATGGGGGAGTTGGCGGTGATGGGTTGGTTAGCTTAGGGGCCGTGAGTGAGCGTCCAGCGGCGGGCGAGCGAGCGAGCGAGCGAGCGAGGTGCTGGCGAGTTGTTCTTTACCTGCACCTGGTGGATAGCCACAGACGCCCACGCCAGCAAGGCGGTGGCCACCTGTGCACCAACGGCCGCACATACAATGCACACACACACATGACAAACATGTAGACCCACACAAACATTACAATGCAAACATAAGAACCCAAAAGACAAAGTCCCCCTGTTAGAGCAAGTAGCTGTTAGCGAGTAGCAGCGTCTATGAAGGCCGGCACATGCACACGAGGGTGGCCAACACCACAGGCACAAAGATCCCCCATATAGCCTTAACAGACTGTAGGGGCAAGTGCTGTTAGCGAGCACCTATGAAGGCCGAAACGGTACACGAGGGGGTGGGTGGCCAGCACCACGCCCGACCGCCTTTGTTTCCCTAGCGGCGATGTTTACACACCGCACCAGGTACTCATTTGAGGCTGAGTCGACCTAGGGGAGGCCCAGGACCGGTTCGAATAATCATCACTGGTGTTGGCCGAGAGCGGGAATCGAACTCGGGTCGCCAGGTTCATAGCGCAGCGCGCTAACCGCTACACCACGGCTCCCCACACAGGCACACACACACAGACGCACACATAGACACACACACACAGACACACACACACAGACACACACACACAGACACACACACACAGACACACACACAGACACACACACACACAGGCACACACACACAGACGCACACATAGACACACACACACAGACACACACACACAGACACACACACACAGACACACACACACAGACACACACACAGACACACACACACACAGACACACACAGACGCACTCACCTCCTGGTGCCGGATTGTGAAGGGCTCCTTTCCCCAGCGCCGCTGTAGCTCGAGGACTCCGAGCAGATCCCCGTTGGCGGTGATGAGCGGCAGGCAGAGCACGGAGCGCACCTGCGCGCCCGGGTCCAGCCCCACGCCCTGGGGGAACCGCTCATCCTGCCACCGACAAACACAAAAACAAAGATAAAGGATCCCCACCCTCATCCATAGCCACAACGGACTGTTGGGGCAAGTGCAGTTTAGCGTTCACCCCACCGCGCTCTCCCCACCACCCTCTCCCCACCGCCCCCTCCCCACCGCCCCCTCCCCACCGCCCTCTCCCCACTGTGCTCTCCCCACCGCGCTCTCCCCACCACCCCCTCCCCACCGCGCTCTCCCCACCGCGCTCTCCCCACCGTGCTCATCCCACCGTGCTCACCCCTAGGATGTCTTCCACCAGCACCGTCTGTCGCACCTTGGCGACATAGGCCGACACGGTGGCGCCAAAACCCACGGGCCCAGCCGGGATCAGCCTCTGCTGACCCTCTTTGGCTCCGGTCGGCGTGAAGAGGCACAAGCTCTGCGCAAAGGTCAAAGTGAGACACAATAGAGTTGACCCCCCATAGAATTCTCACGGCTGGGGTCAGAACACTCCACTGTATATTAATTCAAGTATCAGACGACAACAAGGGACGGGATAGTGTCCCTCTTGTAAGAGTGACACGGGTCACCGAAGTCACAAAGGCAAATCAAGTAAAGTCAAAAAGAAAAGGACGGCATTGAAGCGAGTAGAAATCAGCGGCAAGAACAACTGCGTCACACGATAAACCGAAAATATCACGCAAACATTAAACGGCGGTAAATAATAAATCCCTGCAGAGCAAGTCGGCCCACGCAGACCATATTTGGAATGATCAAGATATGATTGCTCACGGGACAATTGCGATTAAGTTACAGAAATATTGAACAGAAATAATGTGGCAATTTTGAACACAACTCTCCCACACCTGTGGGTGGACTGGAAGTTTGACCGCCCACCCACTCCCCTTCCAAGCCTAATTCTGACCTTCCGAAACTTTTGTTTATGCAGCTGATGATTGCAGTGACATCACCAATTCCCTCCCATAATATCCTCCCATACAGCGACACACACGGGAACAGAAGTGCAACTTTTTTTTCCGCAACTATTTTCGTTACTAGTCGGGTAATCTAGCCGATAATCGGTAACGGGTTATTTAAATAATTGTGTGGCTCAGCCATACTATAAACTCAACGCGTTCGTCAATGACACTGTGGCCTTAAAAGGAAAAATGTATCATACGTGTCGTTTCGGGTAATGGCCCTTCTCCATAGCACACGGTTTGTACTATAAATAACGTTTTTCAAAATCATAGAATCCGAAGAACGAAACGCCTTAAGTGATGGCTCATTTTACTGAGAGAATTCAACAGCCAAAGTTGGACACGCGCTGTATTTAGCATTCTTAGAATTCAGCGGTAATGCCCGGCCCCTGCGAAATTACACGCCGAGGCATCATTAGCAAAATTACGGCATCGGTGGGAGAAATGTTCTGAGTGGACTTGTCCCTGCCTTCCGCGTTTCATGCTGCAAATACTGCTGAGCCTCACGCTTCACGAGCAGCACTCCCCGCTCCGTCACCAAGCGGCGAGGCCATATATGGAACCGAAGCTAAAGCGAGAGGGACCCAACGATGAAGTCACATCTGAGATGCATTGGCAGCTACAAAAAAACATCGTCATGGACAGCCCCCTACATCCCAGCGGTGGAAAGGAAACGTGTAGTGGTGAAGAGAGGCCCGTATCAGGCGTGGGGTGACATACTACGGCCGGGTTTCACAGTAGCGCAAGATGGTCCATACGTGCCTGCCCATTGCGCTACTGCGTTTTGATTTAAGTGCTTTGAAGATTCTGAGGACACGAGCGCGGGGGGCAATCATGCCGTGCGTGCCCATGAAACCAAAGCAAATAAAGACGCGGAGTTACAGTTCAGCGCGTGGGAGCAGATTTAGGATGCGCGTCGGCGAAACGGCAAATTCCTCGGCCCAGTTTCCCAGCCTTCGCTCGCGCGCGAGTTTTTCAGATTGTTGACATTTTTTTTTTATATATTCAGTGTTTTCACTCGTCCTGAACCGCGTCGCAGCGTACATCTGCGTACCATTCCACTAGCGATGTTCGATGTTTGTTTACGCATTTCAACTATGGAGGGCTGCCCCCCTTCCCCCCACTGCCGTGTAAACCGAAGCGTTGCCTTTTAGCCGACTACCGTTTCCGAGCGCTGCGGATCGGCGAGTTTGTTTGTGCCGCTCGTTGTTGCAGAGGTTCGCGTTTCGAGCCACGGCTTAATTACAGACGGGGGCAAGAACTTTAAAGTCGCGCCGTGGTGGACGTTAAAGGGCTAGGAGATGTTAACTACCTCGCTTGGTATTCAGGAGGTTAGTGGGTTGGATCCCGACTCTGACGCATGCTGTATATTTGGAGTATGTGGCGTCTCTCTCCCCGCGTTCAGAGTATTTGGCTGCTATAAATTTCCACATTGATGAGCCACTTTGTTGAGCTCTCATTTCCTGCGAGGTCGCGGCTGAAAAAGAGCTGCACCGCTCAGTGGGGCCTTACCTTGTTCAATAAAAAAAAAGTTTATAGTTTTTATTAATTTGAAAAATGACACCGCAAGGTCCTCAACTGGGATCACACGTAGCAACATCGCGTCCTGCTGTGAAACGTCTGCAGACTCGTCTATTATCGAATTGGGAAGAAAACGCAACTTGACAACATGGGCCCCCCTATACTGGCAGGCACTACTCGCCTGTGAAACACAGACACACCACCGTAGCCTTGCGTTATAAGAATGGCCCTGGTGCCCAAAGTACTCATTTACTATCACCGTCGTTGTTGTTGTTGTTATTAGCTGAGAACCTGCAGAGACTGCAGAGCGATGGTATGTCAGGGGAGACCTGAATGACGGTGGTCACCGTGCAATTGACACTCACGTTGTTGCATTCGCCCAGGAAGTAGAGGGAAAATCCATCGGCGTTCGTTGCTGGAATTTGGAAGCGACAAAAGCACGGGATTAGCAACTCGCGTTCGGCCTACTCCTCCTGAAGTGCGCCGCCCGCACAGTCCACAACGGGCGGTGATGTTAACACAGCGCGCGCGCACCAGGGTCACCGTGATAAGAAATCCTTCACAATACGATGATACGAGATGACTTTTCGCACTTTGACGATTTGTTGCTGCCGTTAGAATATTCCCACAACCCTGTAAGTGTTTTCTAATTGGCTTGTGTTCTTCGCCTGCCAGAAGCCTTCTCGGTGTTGCGCCCTCGCAGTAAACGTGCAACGTTGGTCTCAACATTAGCACGTGTTGGAACCGTGGTTGTAACCAGCGCGTAACGTAATAAAAAAAATAGGTATATTAGCCACAAATATCATGATTTCATATGACCACCATTCCGCCAAATTAAGGCGGAAATATACGTGTAGCCAAGCGCTCATTTATTTGCTAATGCACATTTGTTGGAAACTGTAATTATTATGCTCTTGCTAGTTCACAATTATTTCCGTCAGCAAATAAAATATATATATATATTTTTAAAGAACATGCGCATCGATAAAACCACTATATTGCAATGTTTTGTAAAATGAACATTATATTGGACGGTATATCATAGTATCACCACACTGCGCCAACTCGAATGTTCACAAACAAAGACTTAGACACGCACGCACGCAAGCACGTGGACACGTATAAGTGCGTGCACACAGGTACACAAATACACACGCGCCGATTTACCCTCTCTGGATGGTTATCCGTCCAGACGCACTACAGGCCTAACGCCTGCTTAGATCCTCAGATCTAACGTTGCGCGCATTTTGGTGTAAAGGTACAGCCCTGCAATTGCTCGCTCGCACCACTGCCGACAAAAGGGCCTCCCCACTCGAGGGAACTACTTTAGAGAGAAGGGATATTGGCCTACTCTTCCACGACTGGCCAAGGCGGGGGAGTACCCACACTTTATCCCATCACTCACAAGTAACCTGGCGATCTACTAACAATTTATAATGCTGCTGGGTGGACAGATGCAGGTGGAGATGAGAAACTTGCCCCATGGTTTCAACTGCCGGTCTGAAGAGATTGCATTTAACTGGCGAGTCCGATGTGTGGCCCATCATTTGGCCGCGTTAGAAAAGGATTAGAATTGCTTTTTTGTTAAGTTTGTTGTCCTTCCCCCGCACCTCCGATTAGCGCCGTTGCCCACGTACGGTGGTGCGAAAGGAGTTCAACAAACGCACGTACATTATTTGCCTGGGCTTCCAACAATGGCTCTGTGAGATAATTGGCACCTGCGAGGAAAGGTCCGGTACAAAGTCCTCGCTTACGGCCAATGTTGTGTTCGCCACGTCTGATCTGAGACGGGGGGGGGGGGGGGGGATTTTTACTCTAAAGAAAGACAAACACGCAATGATGGATGCCTTTTTTCTCATTTGCAAGGAAAACCGCACCGATTGTTTCGTGTAAACTAGCCGGGGCAGTGAGTGGTTAAAGTAGCTGGGGCAGTGAGTCATTGTAAACTAGCCAGGCCAGGGAGTCGTTATAAACTAGCCAGGCCAGTGAGTCCTTGAGCCGCGTCAGGTAGGCGCCAAAAACGGTACGTAGTGAATTTCACCATGAAGGAAGCCATGACTGGCCGGTGTGTTGGCACAAGACAAATGGTGAATGTTCATTTTTTTAAATCTGATCTTTGCACATCTTCGTGCATAAAATAAAATGTGAAAATTTGGAGAAAACCCATGATTTCGAGGCCTGTTTCCCAGTGCCTCACATATGTCTCCACAGTTATAGAATTACTGCCTGTGATTTTGTGGTTTTGTGGTTTTGTGGAGCGAGACAAAGAGTTCTTACGGATTGGGCATTAAGGCCTTGGGACATCGACAATGATGATGTTGATGATCATGATAGACCAAGTGCATTGCGCTTTAGGCAGGGGACCGCATGTACAGAAATAACACTGCATCATCCAGGTCAGTAACTGCTTTCTATACAAAGTCACAGACCCTTATCAGCTTCCTATAACAGCCAGGTGACTCAGCGGTAGAGAAAGCGGCTCACGTGCAGTATGCTGCAAGTTCAAATCCTGGGTGGGCATTGACGCAGCCCATCATCCCTCCGGGATAGATAAAGTGACTACCACTTCATGGATAAATCAACAGTGGCCTTCCTATGGAGTGACTTGCCCCCTCATCATAGTTTGTTGCCCTTCTCCCGCACCCTCGATGAGCACGGTTGGCTACGTTCAGTGGTGCGAAAGAGGTTCAACATGCACAGACACGCAGCAATGTGGAATGACCACTACGGGCTCAGGGCTGTAAATGGAAAACGAAGCGCTTTCGCCGCCCGGTGCAGAGGTTCACGGTTCGAATCCAGCGGCCGCCCTCATTGTTTACCGCGGTGCGGTTTCAAGATCCCCTGGCGTCGCTCGCAAGAGCAAGCCACTGTGTGACGGGCACCAGGGTCCACATTTTCCAACAATCCAAAAGTCACACCGCACATTACTCAATTGTAATTACGCACGGCGAGCATCGCCTCCGGCTGATGAAACAATGCCCAATTGTCACCCTTGTAAACTGAGACTATCCTGGTCTCTTGTTGAGTTCCCACTAAAAGAAACTTGATTTCAGCAATATTTTTTTTTACTTTGACACCAGAGGGCACGAAGTCGCCCATGTTTGCCACTGGTTCAGGCCGTCACACAGGAGACGACAGCCTGCCTTGCTCGCCCGGCCCCGCAGTTGCGTACCGTTGTGGATGATGTAGCAGAGTTCGTGCAGCAGAAGTTTGCTGTCGCCGCCCATGTCCAGCCTCTGCTCGATGTGGCTGTTGAGCTCGTACACGACCGCCTGAACGTTCGTGTCCTGGTACTGCTGGGAGAGGTGGGGGGGGGGCAGAGGAACGAGCGTCAACTGGCGAAATGCCGCGTCGCTCGCTCAAAAATTGTGCCGTTCCCTCTATTCGTGAGTCGCTATTCCCTTGTGACGGGGTGTTCGCGCGCTTGCGCTGTACGGCCGGCTGTCTCCGTCCAACGTGCTTCTCGGAGCATGCCGCGTGTCGTTTGGACCGACGTCCGACGTTCGGGAGCCGAAGAAGCTCCCAGCACGCGGAGCGAAACGTCGGACATCATGCTGAACAATGCGCGGTAGAAACCCGAAAACCAAATTAGGGAGTTTACATTTTGGTTTGCGTCAGATAGGGAGCAGAGGGCCTTCGTCTTCGATTCAAAAGACTGAAGTCGCTACAATGCCGTCGATGATATTTATCAAAAGAAGGTGTTACAGCTATAAGGTCACGCCCGGGCCGACTCCGTTCGAGCCACGTGGGTTAGGACTCCAGTTAACGCCAGGGAGACAAACACTATGGTTTTCAGGAACTGCAAAACACTGATGGCAATCCCGTGTGTTGCGTAACTTCTAAACCTAGGCTTGCTAGGCAAGCCCTGATCTTTCAATCCACGAAGCGGTCATTAACCAAATTAAATCCGTTTGCTAATCATCGCTCGAAGATGACACGGCACCATCACCCCCCTTTCCTGATGCTGACCGCGTGAGGAAAGCGGCACGGCAGCATTGTCGCTTTGATCTCCCCGACGTAAAAAGTAAAAAACTAATTTCCAAATTGCCCCAGCCCCAAGTGATCATCTTTACCAGCAACAGAGCGGCTCAATTAGCGGCCTACTGCCATGATAATTGGTTAGTTCGGAGGTAATTAGCTAACACGATTGGATGCGCAACGAGGTGTGTGTGTGTGTAGTGTGTGTGGTGTGTTTGGTGTGTGTGGTGCTCATGTGTGGTGCGTGTGTGCGTGTGGCACGTGTTTAGTGCGTGTGTGCGCATGTGTGTGTGGTGTGGTGTGTGTGTGCGCGTGTGTGTGTGGTGTGTGTGTGAGTGTGTGTGCGCGTGTGTGTGCGCGTGTGTGTGGTGTGTGCGCGTGTGTGTGGTGTGTGCGCGTGTGTGTGGGGTGTGTGTGCGCGTGTGTGTGTGTGTGTGTGGTGTGTGTGGCGCGTGTGTGTGTGTGGTGTGTGTGTGCGCGTGTGTGCACATGAGGAGAGTGGGGAGGGGAAGAGAGAGGTAGCAGAGACACAACCCGAAGAGAAAACACGAGATGGTATGACGAGCCGGAGTGGGGTAAGGTGACAGAGGACAAGAGAGAAGCAGAGTCAAACACAACAGCATCTTCCTCCTCGCACGGCTGATGATCAAGTGCAACAACTAGTCTGTTGCCCTTCCACCCCCGCACCTCCGATTAGCATGGTTGGCTACGTACGGTGAAAAAGAAGTTCAACACACGTACATACAACTATCATTTTACACTGAGGTGGTTGAGCCAGACGATTGCGTCAGGAGGTGCGGAGTAACGCATCGCGGCGCTATGCCTCCTGGTCCTTCTTCGCGTTCGTGAAATCGGGCATCATGTCTACGCTGTATGTTTCACGGCCTGTTCTGGGTGACCACAGGAAAAATATCGGGAGAAGCGCGAGTGTCGATGAAAGTTCGTTATCCACCGCTTAGGTTGTCGCGGTTGTGCGTCGCTGCCTTCCGATGTTTCTCTCCACATGCCGGGGAGCTTCAGAAACTGAATTCAGGAACTTCCTGGGGGAATTGGATTCCGTTCCTGAGGAAGCCTCCCCAGCACGTGGAGAGAAAGGTCCGCGATGAATCGGCCTCCTCCGCTGTTGTGAACTGGCCCTTGAGTCATAACGTCGTGTGTTTTTTAACGTCGTATTTTGAAATGGAAAGTTTTAAGCACGCGGATAGATGAATCGGAACATGATCAAATGTGTGCTTCCTGCTTCCACGAAACTAAGATTTTCATCTCTCGTGACTGTAACATCGGTGTTTTATACAAGTGTGCAAAACTTCCAAAACGTCGGTGCATTATTACTTTTACTGACGTGATCCGAGCTGGTGCCTGCTGGGCTTAGAGTTTCTTTCAGCTCCAGACCCAACACAAAGATTTGGGTGAAAGTCAAGGAGATTTGGGTGAAAGTAAAGATAATTAAATGAATAATAAAAAAACGATTAGTCCATATATTAACAATTAAATATGTATTTATTCCCCCCCCAAAAAAAATGTTGTTCATAGGCCTAAAAGCCTTCCACAGGCGGACTTGTGTACGCAGGCAAAACTCTTTGAGGAGTTTAAACTTTTCCGCATCTCATCGGCAGTAAGCCCAAATGAATTAACGGCTGCTGGGTTGCCAGCTGCTCTATACGGAGGGTGCAATCTGACCAAACCACCCCAGAGTCCATAATACGCGTTTTTTTGGGTCAGATCGCGTAAATATAAATGTGTCGTTGAACCCGCCACCATACAACACAGCCAACTAGTGAGGGTTGTCAAGTAAACAGAACTTGGCCAATTCGTCACGAGTACAGCACACCGGTGTGTTGGAGAGCCAAGCCACAACATTTACAATCCGAGTACGACGTTTCGCCAGTAATTACAACCAGCTTCATCAGGCGACAGCCAGATTTGTGTTCGCCCGATCTCGAATTACGCCGTGACGCAGGCGCGCAAACGGCCTGGCTTTCTCTTTTGCGAATAACGCCAAAGAGGGGAAGGGATCTTTAACGTCCTCCGTGAAGCAGACGGCGCCACGTACGGTTCTCACGCCGGGGCGGTTATAACCAGGGTGGCCCGCCGGAAGTCGAACCGCGAACCTCTGCAGCAAGCGGCGGCCAAACGCAGCGCCTGCCACTAGGGGCCCGCGTTGTCGCTTAGTTCGCACCGGAGCGGAGGATCATTGTCGCGAACCGAATCGACGAGGCAGATGCGCGCCGCTGTTCGACGCAGAGAGATGCATTTTTGATGCCATAATAATGAGTTGCTTTGCAAGAGGCCACGTAATGAACGACGCCTCAAAGTGCACGAGCTTGTTTGCTTTAGGGGAAAATTAATGGGCTCTTATCTGCATCCTTTTTAGACCGAGGGCTTAACATTATCTTTCTCTCTTCCGTCCGCGCGGGGAATGACCTATTGTCCACCAGTGATTTGGACTGTGTGCGTGCGCGTGTGTGTATATCCGAGCATATACACACACACTCACTCACCCATATACATACCGTAAAAGGTGGCATTTGAATACATCTACTGAAGGTTATGTAAACACCGCGTATTTTTATAAGCTTCGGCAGAACACTGCCCGTGGCTCAAGAATGAATAAACTACATACGCGGGAGGGCACATGCCAAAAACCACTGGGAACGAGATACTAAAAAAGGTATGATTGTTTTAGGACGAATTAACTTCACGGAGACACAATCGGGCCAAGTGCCAATTCCGACTTCCACTAGCGACCCTTCCCCAGAGCCAGGTATCAAACCCTCGCTGCTTCTGTCAGGGTGGGTTTCTGGTATGTATGTATGTTGAACTTCTTTCACACCGTACGTAGCCAAACGTGCTAATCGTAGATACGACATTGGCCATGATCCAGCTGCGATCCACCAATTCAAATTCCAAGTCGCTGGGTTTACAGACTTGCAGTGTCACCACCACCACACCTAGACTCACACTTTTTTTGAAAATTATTTTTTATGGCCTCAACACTTTTAAATTATCTTCTTCTCCAAACCCTTAGTCCGCTACTGCTCCGCCACACACGCGGCATAAGATGCGCACACTATTTATAAGTCTACATTCATCGATGCGGTCGATGCAGCTGAAAATGAGCGCACTGCGCGGATGACATAATGCCGGGCAGCGTGAACCTTTGAAAGCTAGACCCCGCGCTGTAAAGGTATCCCATCTGTGACGCACGTGCCCTTCAAGAGATCCGCGATCAGCTGTCCGCACGCCGGCTGTGATACAGCTGCAGCTGCTGCGGCTAATGTGCCAGCTGCCGATGCATTATGTGGAGAACACTGGATGCAGACAGTGACGTTCTTTGACTTGTTGCTGTCAGTCGTCCCATTGCCTCTCCTTCTCTCACTCTGTTGTTTTGCAACCACCGCATTGCGACGCTCCTCCCACGTGTTTTCAGGTTGTACCGCGCGTCATTCGGCACGACGTCCGATGTTCCACTCCACGGGCCGGGATATGTTATTTTTCAGGAACTATATGATTAAAACCAGATTCGTAAAAGTGCGGTGAGTTTCATGGTCTCAAGTATTGGCCTGAGGAACCCCCCCCCGCTCCCCCCCACCCCCGCGTCCCCGTAACGTACAAATTAGGTTTTGCGCTTCATTTAGCAGATACCAGGAATGAGAGCTAAGTCAAATTAATTGAGAGAGGCGCGTGGAGTGAAGCGCTCGGTAAACCGTGCTGATAAACGGCACGCTCCCCGACACGGTACGCTCGGGGACATCGCACAAAGGGAGGCCCCTTTCTGTCGTCACCTTGAAATCCTCCCCCAATGCGACGTGTGGCGAGCGTTGCCACCTGTTGAGGTACAACGACAAAAAAAACCGGGACGTATCGTGGCAAGAACAAATATCTTCTTGGTTCTTTCGGTAAAGTCACGTAGAAGGGAAGTAATAAAATAATAAAAGTAAAACATAATAAAATAATTCTCACGACGTTTCGGCCACAACGCAAGCAGCCGCCCTCAGGTGAAGAATGAAACACGAATTAACTTCACGGAGACACATAGGCGCTGCAAGCTTGGTGGTGTTTCATTCTTCACCTGAGGACGGCTGCTTGCGTTGTGGCCGAAACGTCGTGAGAATTATTTTATTATGTTTTATTATTTTATTATTTTATTACTTCCCTTCTACGTGACTTTACCGAAAGAACCAAGAAGATGAATCCCTGCAGTCACGAAAGCTTTAAATCGAAAAAAAAGAACAAATATCTTTACAATGCCTGAAGAGGGCGAGGAACTACATGTGCGATGCATCGCCTTCGAGTGGTGTTTTATCGCGTTGCTGACAAACACCGGCAGCTTTCAATATTCTTGGGAAGACTTACGGATTTCCCAGGGTCAGTTGCCACCTCATCCAGGACTCAGCGTCCCGATAATCCCGTGGCTAATGTTTCTGCTGGGTATACCGGACGAGAATTTTGCGGCGCTTCTTCGCCCCGTGTGTGCACTCCCGTGGCATTAATCGGAATACGTAAGAAGAAGAAGAGCACAGGAAGAAGAGGCAAAGGAGGGGCGACGTGGGGAGCCAGACGTTCACTTCCAAGTTGCGCGTTTATCTCGTTCACCCCAGGTGAGGAACTCAAGAGTGAAAAAGTCTGACAATTTTGGGGTGACGACGGTGGCCGTGCACAGTCCCGGTTGAGACCATTTGTGGGCAACTTTCGAATTTTAGCAAAATTTCGACCGCGACACGCGCCAGTGCACAATGGGCCACGGACGCCTGCTGATTATCACCGCGCCCGCAGCATTGATCCAGGGGCGGCCGCTCGATTCGAACCGGCGACCCCCTGCAACGGCGGTGGCGGCGGAACGGGGCGATGGCTGGGCCCACGTCACCGCTCCCCCAGGGGACAGAGAATGAAGAGAACGGCGGGAACAAAGGGGCTTGTGAACACCACGAGGGGACAGAGAGCGATGGGGGGGGGGCAGGGGGGGGGGCAGAGAGAGAGAGAATCGTGTACGTGGGTGATATCACGTAAAGCACCTTCGAGGCCGCATGCTGACGTGGTAATGAGTTAGGGGGCGACGTACTCACCCGTGTGACCTCACGAACGCTCGCATTGTCTGTTCACACCCACGGCGTGTATGTGTGCGTGCGTGCGTGCGCGTGTCCGTGTGAGTGCGTGTGAGTGCGCGGCGGCGTGTGCGTGTTTGCGTGTTGCGTGCAAGTGTAAGTGCGGTGAAACAGAACGACAACAAAAAGACAACAAAACACACGGTTACTTGCAGATATTGACAGAAGCCCAGAGCGTACACACACATCGTACGCACGATGCATACACACACACACATATGCATTTGCGTAGACACCTGTGCACACACGCATCCTTGGACACAGGCACTGCACACAAAAACAAAGATTCACCCGTATATCTTTAACATAGTTCTGGGACAAGTGCTGTTAGCGAGCAGCACCTATCAAGGCCGGCACTGCACACAAAGGGGTGGGTGGCCAGCACCACGCCCGACCGCCTTTGTCTCCCCAGCGGCGATGTTTAGACACCGCACCAGGTACTCAATTGAGGCTTGGTCGACTTAGGGGAGGCCCAGGACCGGTTCAGGGTCGCCGGGTTCATAGCGCAGCGCGCTAACCGCTGCACCACCGCTCCCCACACGCACGGACACACACACACACGTGCAGGGACCATAGACACACAGCGACATGCATTAAGATTCCCATTTGTTAGCATAAGAGACTGTTTGTTGGGGCACGTGCTGTTAGCGAGCACCCGTTAAGTCTGACAAAGTACAGGTGGGGCAGTGTAGGCACCATCACGTCCAGCCACCTTTCCCTCCCCGACGCGGATCTTGTTTACATACCGCACCGCGCATTGCTGAGGCACCAGGGAAGGTTGCGAGAACACTTTGCTGTTGACGTTACCCATGGCAGGGACGTGCACCCAGGTCACCAAGATGGTCGCGGCTAATATGCTAACCACTGCGTCTCGTCTCATCTCACAAACATTGCAAAGATCCCGCCTTAAGAGGCTGCCGGGGGCACGTGCTGTTAGCGAGTGGCACCTACGAAGGCCGGCACGGCGCACAAAGAGGTGGGTGGCCAGCACCACGCCCGGCCGCATTTGTCTCCCCCAGTGGTGATGTTTACACACTGCACCAGGTACTCATTTGAGGCAGAGTCGACCTAGGGGAGGCCCAGAACCCGGTTCAGATAATCTTCGAATGTACGTTGCGGGTTCGTAGGGCAACGCGCTCACCGTTACGCTACCGCTCCCCATACACTCGCATGCACACACACACCCACACTCGCACGCATAAGAAGACACAGATCCCCCCGTATAGCCTTTAACAGGCTGTATGTATGTATGTCGAACTTCTTTCGCACCATACGTAGCCAACCGTGCTAATCAGAGGTGCAGACTGTTGGGGCAAGTGCCGCTCGCAAGCACACAAGGACACCTTTGTCCCCCCAGTGCCGATGTTCTCATTTAAGGCTGAGTCGACCGAGGGGATGCCTCGGTCCGTTTCAAATATTTCGTCGCTGCGAGCGGGAATTGAACTCGGGGCTTTCGTCGGGTTCAATCGCGTCGGGCAAATAACCGATGTGCCACCACTCCTCGCTCGCACACACAAAACACTCAAACATATACGAAAACACAAACGCCCACGTCAATTCACCGGCACGTACACAACAACAGCAACAGCCGCAGCAACCGCCGTCCTCCACGAAGCGATGGGGCGGTCAAACCAAAGCGCTTCGTGTGCCAGGCTACGTGCACATTAAGGCCGTCACGTGATGCGTTCACACACACGCACGCGTGGACAGGTTTCCTTCCCGGCAATCGCGCGCGACACGCAAGAACGGCGCCACTGTACATCGGCGCGGGCTCCACAACGTGACGCCCGCAGCGGCCGGTGCGTCGAGCGGTTATAAATCCCACTTCAGGGACCTTGGGAAGGGATGCGCCGTGGCCATGACCACGCAGTTTACCCCATGGGTTTAGGTTCAATCCCTGACCTGAGGTTATTGGTTCATTTCCCATTTCGACGGTGGGCTCAAGCTCGACGTCCTCCCGTGGCGTTCCGTGGCGTGGCGAGTCAGCAATTGTGTTCGCGTTACAGTACTACCTCGTTATTCACGACACTCGCTGTCCGCGAACAGCGTCTGGAACTCTACGCGGCCCTATCGACGGAGAAAGAGCAGGAGTGATGTGAGAGAGAAATAAAGTGATGAGAGATGAAGTGATGAGCGTGACTGTGATGCGAGAAAGTGATGAGACGGTCAACCGTGCAAATCGGAGAATGCGGAGGAAGGGACAACTCCTTGAGACATTAGTGCAAGGCACCTTACAAATAAATGTGAATTGTTATTATAAACAAACTAAAGCAGTTCTAAAGAAATGACTTTTCAATCTAGATAATTTAAAGGTGCATAGCTCCAGTGGCTTTCCAATCCGGGAAGGAAGAGCGTTCCAGACGGCCGCAGAAGCGCATCTGAAAGCGCGCAGATGCGGCGACCGTCCGCACCGCTCGACCCTCCGCTGGCACGGCGCGAAAAGCGTCTTGGCTCAGCTCACGAGGTCACGAGGCCACGAGGTCACGAGGTCACGAGGCCGGGTGAAGGATGAAGACGCAGGGACATCGCCATGGCAATGCCACCCCTCTCTACAGACACGACACCTGAGGCAGGGTTCCCCCACACACACACCACCCCCTACAACCCCACCAGGCTACAAACACATTCGTCAGAAGGCCCCAGCACGCCGTTCATTTATTTACTTGCTTAATCCCATGCTCCTCCTCCGCCACACGCCCAGGCGTGCACACAGGGTCATGATGCGGTACAGAATCCCTCCCGATTCACTTTCGCGAGAAGTGGCCCACCTCGGGATTAAGGGGGGCAGCCGAGAGCAGGGACTGGTTTTCGACCGTGCAACGTGCCCTGCCCCCGTCTATCAGCAGGAATACAGCGACGGTGATCAGCATCATCATCGTCATCGTCGTCAGGCGGCTTGTGGGAATCGTGGCGAGAGCGTACAAAAAGGTCGAGCTGCGAGGAGCAAGAGCGATCATCTTTCGATCGACGAGGTTTTAAATTCGCTGAAGAGACACCCACAACATTTTAGGACAACCTTGACTTAAAGCTTTCGTGACTGCATGAATTAATATTCTTTGGGTCTTTCGGTAAAGTCACGTAGATAGGTTCAAGGGAAATAACAAAAACTACGACGTTTCGATCGCAACGCAAGCGTTCGTCATCATGACCGCTAGTGTTGACATCAACGACAATCACTTGAGTCCACAATTTTTGTGACATCTCCGTCAAGGCGGCATAATTGCTGACTGTTGCCGATGACACGGAACCATTAAAATACAGTGCACAGTAGCGCACGGGCAGTCGTCTAAGCACCGATTCAATCCTAGCCAGTTGTTGCGTAGATTGATTATAAACACAGTGGAGTAGAACTCCGCTTATCCGTCACGAAGTGGGGGGAGTAGGGGGGGGGCAAAGTAGCGGATCCTCCCTATCATCGCACCAAGAACCAACGAGAACCGCCCGCGATCAAGGACACCGCCAACCTCCACAGTTGCGGCTGCGGCCCCGATCTTACCGACTTGTCTCGTCGGGGCATGAAAACCACCATGTTCAAGGTCAACAGGTCACCGTGGCCAATGGCAACGGTGCCACCCGTCATTGACCTTTACCCATCGCTAACTACCTCCTGCTGGACACCGCCAGCATGTTGGGCACAAAACTCTCAAAGCCGTCGACGTCGCGGCCGTCCGGCTTGGGGTTGTCCCACTTGGTTGCCCGCCTTCGAGTGCAACTCCAATGAAGTTAAATGTCGATTTAAAGGTTTCGTGACTGCAGGGATTCATCTTTTTGGTTCTTTCGGGAAAGTCACGTGGAAGGGAAATAATAAAATAATAAAAATAAAACAGCGTCTTTTCGACAGACCTGTTCTTCACCTGAGGACGGCTGCTTGCGTTGTGGCCGAAACGTCGTGAGAATTATTTTATTGTGTTTTATTTTTATTATTTTATTATTTCCCTTCTACGTGACTTTACCGAAAGAACCAAGAAGTCTAATGAAGCTCTCGGTGGCATGGCCCTCCTCCATCATCACAACCTCCTCGTCTTCCTCGTTACATCTACAACACCCCCCTCCCCTCCATGCCCCCAGGTCACATCCTATTATGAAGCTCCAAGTTGTTTATCCGATCCTCCTCCTCCAACCTCCTCCTCGTCTTCCCGATTTACATCGACACCGAGTCCACATGACGTCCTATTTCCATCCTCCTGGTTGCCCGACCGAGGCATACAATCCCTGTCGACCTCCCACTCGGACATACGTTCCTGTCAAAGGCCAAACACTTCTGGACTAATTGCTGTTGAGTGAGATAAAAGCGTGGCCGTTGTAAACACACAATAATTATAAGTGGATTTGTTACTCACACCAAACGTATGGCTCTGGGCTGACACTCGCTGAAAATCTCGTCACTTCTCCAACCGGAACATCCACTATCCATACAGAGGCAAATGTCCCCTGTATAGCCTTAACAGAGGGTTGGGACAAGTGCTGTTAGCGAGCACCTATCAAGTCTCAGTACAGGTGGGACAGTGTAGACATCGTATCCCATTACACATACACACACCTGTGCCGTTCGTGTATCTCCTTCTCTGAGCGATGCGCTCATCTCTCCGCAGCATCGCACACCCGTGTAGCCATGCCATGTGCGTACCTAAAACTGTTTTCGCACCGTACGAAGTCAACCGCGCTAATTGCTTACCCATATGCACAGCTTTTATTGTCCCTGCAGTCAGCTATCTGTCCACCCAACAATTTAAAAAATATATTAGAAAGTTATTTGGCATATCCCACGCTCACCGGCTGATATTAAGGCAGCAAGCGGGTGACGTGCTTAGAAAGACGTTTTTTTATTAATTCAAAAAAGCTATTTTTTAAATGCGGTCGTAAGCGTCCGTCAAAATTGTGCACTTAAGCTCCGCCATCCCATCCACGACGGCGCGTGTGTACGCTGGCCTGTCCAGGTGGCGTGCGCGTGCCCTGGCGCGGTGCTTTTCTGTCTCGTACTCGAGTTCAC